TCTCATTTGCGGACCGCACCGGGTGACACCATTTAGGGGGGGGGGGGTGACACCAAGGCAAATAATAGCAAAATATATAGAGAAAAATAATTCCTCTTAATTAAGTGATTAATTCGAGCATTAAATAGTCTTTTAAGAGGTGCAATCAAAAGTTTGAAGGGGGGGGGGGGTGCAAATCGAAAGTTTGAGGGGGGTGGTGCAAATTGAAAGTTTGAGGGGGGTGGGTGCAAATCGAAAATTGAAAGTTTGTCCCCGAGAAGGGTCGCTACGCCTCTGGGGGGGTGACACCATAAAGTGCCGCACCGGGTGACACCCGACCTTGCTACGCCACTGCACACATCTACACAAATGCACTCTACCCCCCACTCCTCGCTATGTGTGTTTTGTCGTTTATGGACCACTCCCCATATATATAGCTGGATAATCGATAATGTCTTTAAACGACTACTGTATTGTCTAATATCTCATAAATCCCTAATTAATTTAAAAAAGTCACTTTAGTAGTACTAATTACAATTTAGTTTTTTTTTTTTAAATTAGTTATTACAGAAGAGTCACGTTGCTCCCCTTCCCCCTAAATCCTAAACTGCGGACACCCATATGCCTACGATGTAGCCTGCATGTAGCCTGGTGTAGCCATACTACAGATCTGAGCTACATTCCTGCAGTGGGTCACGTGATACTGATGTTAAAAAAATCTGGTTGACCTAGCGATATTATCTCGCAGCTAGTATTTGATTACTTGCTCCGCTTTAGTTCGTATCACACACGTTAAACACTACATTTTCAACGCGACCTTCTGAAAAAGCCGACTCGACCTTTCCCTATCCCCCGCTCCATTTAACAAAATAACCTTTCTATTTACTCCAAGTCCTGCATTGCTTTATCCGCATACCGTAAACGCTACGGTTTATTCCGCCCTACATTTCTCGTTTAAAAAAAGGGCTAGTCACTCTGAAGTGTTTCTCTGCCAGTAGGTTATGTCCCCTGATTAAGTATTCCATCTCACACCTCCCTCTCCCCACCCAGTTAAGGCCTTACTGGTTCAAATCTAAACCAACTTTTAACCAACTAAAGGACCAATAACTATGCTGTTAGTACCAGTGATACTACAGATAGGAGATTCTGATATTTTAAAGGTAAATGTTAACTAGGGAACAAAATAAAAAAATCCGATGTTGGATTAATGTCGCCGAAACTAGGTCTCAATATTATGATGCTTGTCTTTGACCAAGGGAGACAATTATTTCAATTAGTGTTGTGTGAAGCTAGTTTGTGATATTTTGTCGTGTGCTATCGTGACGCGTTGAGCAGTCGTGGAATTTGTCATGTGAGTAGCCGTAAAAATACATAGTTTTTAGTTTTCACAACTGCTGTCAATAGACGTATTGTATTACTCGTGTTCATTTTGTTAAAAATTAAAAAAAATAACCATATTAGGATTAGAATCGGATTTAGTTAACAACCCTACATTTTATTGATAAAGTAATTAATAAATAGGAAGTCGTTAGGCCATAATTAATATCTGCTAATACGACATCCATATTCTCCCCACCTTTATTATGAGTTTTAATTGCGATCATAGGTTCTAAGCTCTAGTTTACAGGATTTAGCGTGTGGTTAATTCTAATGGAGTATACAGAGTTTTTTTGTCGGTAAGGTTTGGCGGCATGTTTCATTTCAATATTTGATTATGACTGACTTGTTTCATTTTTACCCCCCCCCCCCCCCCCCATCCGCACAAAAATTTAGCACAGTACACGATATCGCGGTTGCTTTTAACACCCTACATTTAACACTAATCTCAATATGAAGATACACATTGGAGGAGTGACTAAGGTTTGAGAGTGTAAAGGCACTTTATAGACAAGTCATTTAATACAGATTGGAGGTGTGAATAAGAATCGAGATTGTAAAGGCACCGTATAGACAGACATTTGTGTTCAGGAATTTGGGCCTTTTACTTAAATACTCTTTGTATTTGTAAACTTGACCTACTTGAGTCACGTGGTATTGATTTCTTTTAACCCTGATCACGACCGTTGTAGAATTGTTTACATCGAACTAACGACGCACGCGACTGTCCGTAATTTAAAATAATAAACTCGAACCGTCCTGTAGGGAGAAACCGGAAGTGGGGGAGGGGTGGGGCGGAGGGACAGAGGGGTTGAGTTGATGACACTGGTGGTCACGGACAATTCCCTCTCCCCACCCTGTGTATACATTTTGACTGGGGGGGGGGGGTCACGTGTAGACCGTTCACCTGATTCCTAGGAGCGCCGCATATGTCCGTACTATTTACCACGCTCCCCACGTACTACATACATATTTTACACACATGTTCTTGTTTCTAGGGGACGTGGGTCACAGGTAGTTCCCACCTGGTCAGGTATACCACAGGTGAATAAAATCACCTGACTGCTCTAACTCGGTCTACACCACCCCCCCCCCTCCCAATCTCACAAAGATCAGGACATAAAATCGAATGAAACCCCCCGGGGGCAGTCTGATGGGTCACGTCTGCTTCACGGCTTATCACGTGATTAAGATCAGTTCAACCTGCCGTCACATCACGCAGAACTAAACTAACAAAAGTATTGATTTTTTTTTTTGTATTGTTAGAAAAAAGATTTTTTCTTCAAATTTTCCGCTCGTTATTTTAAACTCTATGATTGTGTTGACATCATCAACTTCAAATATATAGAAATATTCACATATTATATTATTAAATTTCAAATTTAATTTCATAATTCTTTGATGAAAAGAGCAAAACTGTATTTTGAGACGTCAGCGGAGTTTTTTTTCGTTTCGTTTCGTATCTTTCTTCCTTATCAAAGTGTGGATAGTGGATAAACACTCCCTGTGTCTGTCTAAATTTTGGGGTAGTGGGGCATGTTTCAAGGGGGGGGGGGAGATAGCAGTTTTTTACAAGAATGGGCCATTCAGTCTAGAATGTTCTAAATGCGAATTCTCTCGTCCCTTCATTACCCCCCCCCCCCCCCCACACACACACTAAAAATATTCCTCTTTTAAAAAGTGAATGAAAGAACTTCTTTCATATTAAGTCAAGTAGCGTAACTTACTCAACGTTGATATCCATTTCTGACATAATGTATCATGTATACAACAACTTGAAGATAGCTGGACTCGTTTTGTATGAATGTTTGTATTTATCTTGTTTGCCTCACTTCCCACCCCTCCCCACTCGTCTCACCTCCCCACTTCCCACCCCTCCCCACTCGCTTCACCTCCCCACTTCCCACCCCTCCCCACTCGCCTCATCTCCCATTTGTTTAAAATGTATCAACAAAGAACAGGACTCGTTCATGAAAGCATAATGTCAGTTTCACTTCAAGTTTGGGCGCTAGCTAATGATGCTTAATTAATTAACCTTCCCCTTCTCCACCAGGAGACGGTGTGGTCGGGAGGGAGAGCCCAGGGATGGGCAGATGAGGCTGACTGCTCATTAGATGAAGGCAACAACCCATCTGGGAGATACCCCCCCCCCACACACACACTAATACAAACAGCTGCTGTTTTGCGGGTTGTTCTAGGGTGGACAGAGGCTACGGAAGCAAATCCATAAAGAAAATCAGTCTGAATTTAGTCAACAGACCATATGGAGCATAACATATTGACATGTAATGCTTCAATGTGTTGGAGGCAATCCCCTCCAATATTACGGCGCTATTACATTTACGAATAAAGGGGATCCCTAACCACCATAGCTGGGAAATGTCAAGCTACTTAGAGAATGGATACAGGCACAAGTAGAAACTAAGTTCATAATAAATCCCTACCTAGCGTATGATATATTAAACCGTATTTTAAATTGACACCAACAGAGTCTATTCGTCGTAACGTTGCCCCCGCCCAACCCCTTTACAAAAAATTCCCGGCGAACCCCCCCCCCCCCCATACAAAAAATTCCCGGCGCAACTATATTTACTAGGACCACATTCTATTCACTTCTCTGATATCATCGTCACAACTTATCGACGGCCTCCAGTACCACAAAGCTAGTACACAAAGCATCTTGGTAAATGTACACGTGTCATTATTTACATGCACACCGCTCGTACATCGCGGGCGTGTCTGTCTTTTGTTATCATTCTACTTCCTGTGTGTCTACGGAGAAAGATCATATTTTTTTTTAAAGTTCCATAATGTAGGCAGGCTAGTGGTTAGGCTATTTCACACAGTGACGTCACTAGGTCGGGTGTTACCCGGTGGGTTTTATTTAAAAATTTCCATGTAGACATATTATATGTATAAATTTTTATATTTCATAACTATTTTTTTGGAATGTAAAACTGGTTTTATTACTTGCAAAATTTTGAATCTGCGAGAATTGAAACTGACATGAGTGTAATTTAACTTACTGTCATTTTGGGGTTTATGGGGGTGGCGGAGGGTGTTCTTAACACCCCTCCCCGCACACCCATGCTACGTCGCTGGTTCTAAGGAGTGTACATCATACAGGATTCTGTTAGTAACTTGAGATGGGGAACTCAGAACAGACTGAGGTATAGATTTGCTTCCGTCAGAACCCCATGGTTTGTTCTGGGAATATGTGCACCAGACTGAGGCTAATCTAACGTTTCCGGGTTCAGGTCACATGTCATAACCCCGGGCTTATCTAGGTCACCCATTCTTACAGTTCATATATACATATATACATATATATATATATATATATATATATATATATATATATATATATATATATATATATATATATATATATATATATATATATATATATATATATATATATATATATATATATATATATATATATATATATATATATATATATATATATATATAGTGTTTATGTAATGCGTACTTAGCATATGTGCAGTGTTTTTTCCAGACATTTTTCTCCGGGATGCACTTGAAATTTTCGGGGGTGGGGGGGGGGGGGGAAGGCGGCGGACAACAATTTCCGGGGGAGGGAGGCGGACACTGTTAAAATTATATATTTTCTATACGAATTCCATTTCGTTGGGGTGGGGGGGGGGGCGGTAGACTTTCTTCGGGGGGCCTCGAAGAGATGCCTGGAAGAAACTCTGCATGTGTGCGGGTTAGGTTTATGTTAGGTTTGTCTGTCCCCGCTCCTGGGACATAGGCCGCTGACAAGAGCTTTATAGGGGGTTGTGAACCTAAAACTATGTCCCCCACCCCGTAGAAAAAAATAAAATTTGGGGGTCCGCCTATGGATGTTCCAAAGGTGTCGAGCAGGTACCAAACCTGCTTAGCTGTGACAGCGGTGAAAGGTATCGAGGTACAGACCTGACTTTATGCCGGCTTACCTGGTTCAGACCTCCTGGATTAACGTTAAGCCCGGGGGTTGTGATTTGTGTAGGTTATCTAGGCTGTCTATTGTTTGCTGTAGTCTGGGGGGGGGGGGGGGGGAGAGGGTGGGGTCTACATTGTTATTTCTCTCTCTTTCTTTTATTTGAAGAAAATAGTTTATCCATGATAATTTTGTGAAAAAGCGGATATGCGTTGTGTACATTCTTTGGTGTCCCCTTTCATGCCCTCAACATTTACCACCCCCTCCACCCCTCGTCTGACGAAGTAGATTTATTAATCACAGTGCCCTATACAAAGCAAGATTTACCTATAATATTACTGTAATTTTTAAATAATAAAAAATTATTTTTTTATTTGTATGTAACACGGCGTATCCCTTACCCCTTTCGGTGTGTTTCCTAAAGCAAGAAACATTATAACACTAGATCTACACACCCGCTCCTTAATACCGACATGTGCTGTCTTACTCCCCCCACCCCCCCAACAAAAAAAAACATGTGTTATTTTATTGCGCAATCTGCAATTCACACACATGCCCCCCCCCCTATATAAGACGTCGTGTCATTAACAATGAATATTTTACTACCCTATTGTTATCTAGCTATAAAATCGGAAATTGTGTGTGTGCCTTGTGTGTGTGTGTGTATCTTTCTGTATATGTGTGCGTGTTTGGTCGAGTGTTTGTGTGCATTATTTCCTCGGCATGTTATTTATTTTTGTCTCAACTCCCGGATACATAGCCATACATGTAGACAGGCCAAGGCTACTCTACTACGATCATGTGTTTTCATTGTGTGTAATGTTGTGTGAGATATTGCCCACACAATACAACTGGGATACTGTTGAAACAAAAATGACAAAGTTTCAACTTGTATTCATTAAGACAATGCTATAGTTAAAATATTTTTTTAAAAAGTCCCATTGTTAAAACAGTATCAAGACTAAGCCATTTTATAATCCAGTGTTAATCTGGAAATAACGTAAACCTTAATAAATTACATGTGTTACGTTTTGTGTTACGTTTAAAAACAAGCTGAACTTCGCTAAAGGTAATATTAAAGATAAGGTTATGTTAATAGTTAGGCACAATACTAAAGCAATATAGTCTAATGTTAAAGCATTTTTGGTACGCATAGTGTACTTCTAAACCAATAGTTCAACACAATCAATATTAGAATACCAGTACTTTACCGTTATGAGGAGACAGGAAAAAAAATCCATTTAAACATGACAGTCCATGTGATAGGTGAAGTAGAGCTCACCTGTTTTATTGACAATGGCATATGAAGGGATAATGTGGTCAGCACTATACCTAGCCAACTTTACTTTCCATAACGTGATTCAGCCACCCGCCCAGAGCTGTGTACACCCAGAGACGTTCTAATGACACGAACCCGGATTCAAACTCGAAACTTTCAGATAAACAGTCGTATGCTCTACCATACGACCACCCCTCCCCCCCCCCCCAAAAGTACCATGTTGTGGGAAAATGTGAAAAATATTTGAAGTCATCGCGAGGTAGAGATTAGCCAATTAAAGCAACATATATTATGGTACAACTTTGATGAAGCAATAGATATAGAAAATTACTATACATACATACATACATACATGCATATATATATATATATATATATATATATATATATATATATATATATATATATATATATATATATATATATATATATATATATATATATATAATGAATATATGTGTATATGTGTACATGTATACATGTATGTATGTTTATATGAAGAGTGCGTGCGTGAGTGCGCGCGCAGGGGGGTGTGATATACTATTGCTCTGTTCACGAGTTTTAGAGCGACCTGTAACAGCTTGACACAATTATGGTCTACCGCCCGTCTGCCACATCTGCGTCAAACGTGTGTACTACGTGCTCCACATAAATCTACAATTCAAATCTCTCGTTTGGGCTGAGTTGGTCTACACGCAACAATACGACACATACCGGTAGTAGCACAGGTTGCAGTGGGGGCAGATAACTCTAATATTGGACAATCGTGGCGTTTTTTATAGCGTGATTATCCGTTAAATGGGAGATAATTTACACAAGTGATAACAGTTTAATGATGTTTTGATAACTTGCCAGTTAGTTTTTTAATGTTTTTTTTTTAAATTTGTGGCAGGATGGACAGAGGCATGCTATCAGAGGAATTTATGGACCATGCGTACAACGGATCTAAGTGATTTTGGATTAATCTACTTGTTGTTTGGGAGCAGATAGTACTTCACTTAGAGGAGCAGGCCTAAAAGTTGCGAGCAGCCTATGATGAATAAAAATTGTGCAAGGTGTGGGAAACCTGTTTACTTTGGTAAGTAGGTCAATCGGTACTTGGTCACGTGATTATGTTAACATGCCTAACCGCCACACTCGTGTTTTTGGGTGCGATGTCATGTCGAGGGTGTCATTGTGTGACGACATGTGAATAGAAAAAAAAATGATGGCATCTGTCAGATAAACCTCCGTGGTAGGCTATTATAGTGTCATGTCACCTAAACGATACATCTGGAATTGTCAGCTGGTAGATTGGGGGGGGGGGGGGGGGGGGGAGTAGGAGATACCTTGGTAATAAAAATAAAATAAAACATTAAATGTTATAAAAAACTGAATGGCCATTTTATCTCCTAATATTTTTCATCACATTTTTTCATTTCCTTGAATGCTTGCAAAATAATAATATTTTAAAAAATAAAAACGTTGTCTCCCTTTAGACGCTAAAATGATTTGTCTACTGAACGTAAAGGGATGTAACTATCATACACGTGAAAAACCGGAAGTAAAACAAACTTATCTTGCTGAGACAGACACTCAAGCAACAAAACTGTTGTTGTCTCCCTGTCTACGGTCCATTGCTATCAGCATGCAACAAACTACAGTCAGAGGCGTAGGCTGGGGGGGGGGGGGGAATAGGCGGAGGATGCGGTCTGCATCGGTGACACTATTTTGGTGGTTTCATCAAATCGAACAATTATAACATTTACTGTCAAAACAATGGATTTTTTCAGTTTACTATAATTTAAAGTTAAACCGAAAATTTTGAGGAGGGTGGGGTGACATCCTTAGTTACCGCACTGGATAATACCCAACCTAATTGGCGTAGGCACAGGTCGGTTCACCCCCCCCCCCCCCCCACCCCCGTGGATCCAACAAGTCAGTTTTTCAGATGTTTAAATTCTAGCTGTGGCTAAGCCGAGCTTGTTTCTCAAAATATTAAATACCGTAAAATCCCAATTGTTTGTTGTTGAATAATTGTGGAACACACGCACTCACGTACTAGCACACGCACGCACGCACATTCACACACACAACGTTTTTCTTGACGTAAAATTGAGCTTTTATGCTGTTTATTGTTTTGAAATCAAAAGCATCGAAACAATTAAACATCTCTGAAAATCGACCGTTGTGTTGTAGCCCACGGTTCCAACGCCCTCCCTAACACTCTCCAACGAAACCACTAATAGGCTACATGTATAGAAATAAAACAAATATAAAAAGCCTTTATAATGACAAATGGGACGCTAGGCTGCTAACCAGAATCTGAGTCCAAGTTAGTAGACCGTCCCTGAGTCCACCCAGCTCTGATTGGTACCTAACTCATGTTAGGGAAAGAAAAGGCGGCTGGGTAAAGTGCTGACCACACCTTACCTTCTTGTGCCGAGGTCAAGAACATCTGAACTCTACTTCATCTGCCCAATGGATCGCTAGGTCTAAAGACGACTATTTTATAAAGACAAGCTTTTAAATGCACTGAAAATAAAAAAAATAAAATGTATTTGTTTTGGTCGCTTATGAGCTCTCGTACATATTTCAGCAAACAAAACTGTTATTAAAAAATACCAATTTGTTTTATTTTCTAATTTTCAGTGCATTTAAAAGCTTGTTATTATAAAGGTTTTTATATTTGTTTTATTTTCCACTTTTTAAAGACATTTTTTCTAAATTAAGTTGACACTACATAGGCTAAAAATATTTGCTTTAAAATACGATCATTTAATTAATTTAAAAATAGATATTCTTGCGTTGTTCGAAGAAGAACGTATCTGGAAAGTTTGAACGAAATCGCTACATTAGAAGTGGGTCAAGCTTACGTTACAAGATTTTCCACAAACCCACATGCAGACGTTGTGAACTAAGAAAAAGCTTGTTAAAATAAACCGGGAGTGATCTCCCCTAAACTTTCTCGAATATTCTAATATAACACTACGTGGGATGTCAACTCGGAATATAGACATGATTTTTGTTTACTTAAACTTTTAAAAATAGAATAAAATCTAGTAGAAAAAAAATTGAGCACCAAGCTAGCACCAACACCAAATGTGCGTAATAGTGCGCAATAATATTAGTACTTTATAAATTTACATGCGTTTTTTGAGAAATCGGAAATAGCGTCAATTAGTACTTCCGGTCAACGGAAATTACTCAAAATTTGATAGAAGTTAGAGAATTAGATCTTTTACTTACATGTGAAATTTTATTTATCTATCTGAAATAGTACTCAAGTTATAGGCTTTTGAAAAATCGGAAATCGCTCAAAAGTTGATACGGATCTACGATTTTGATATAATACTTCTATATGAAAGTTTATCAACCTAGCTGTAACGGTACTAAAGTAATCGTGTTTACACACAGACAGACACACACACAGAGACACACAGACTTACGGACAAGATTGCAAAATTATGTCAGTGAGGTGTAAAACGTCGAGATTTGTAAAAATCTCTATTTTTACTTTCTCGTATATACGAAGTATAGAGAAAGTATTGTAATCGTGCACAAAAATCACTTGAAATTTTAACAATTTTCACCGTATTACACCTCAGTCCTTCATCACATCCGAAGTATAGAGGACTTATTTTAATCGGGCAAAAATTATCAATCCAGATTTATCAAAATTAAGAGGTTTTATGCGTAATCCAGTCTGAAAAACTGGGCTTTGCAATTCTGTCCGTATGTCTGTGTGTCTGTGTGTGTGTGTGTCCGTGTGTAAACACGATAACTTGAGTACCGTTACAGCTAGGTTGATGAAATTTCATATATAAGTATTTTATCAAAATCTTAGATCCGTATCAACTTTTGAGCGATTTCCGATAACCGGAAGTGGTACTTTTTCTACTTTGAATTTTTCAAAAGCCTATAACTTGAGTACTATTTCAGTTAGATAAATGAAATTTCACACGTAAGTAAAAGATCTAATTCTCTACCTTCTCTCAAATTTTGAGTAATTTCCGTTGAACGGAAGTAGTAATTTACGCTACTTCCGATTTCTCAAAAACCTAATGTAAATTTTTAAAGTACTAATAATATTGCGCACTATTATGCACTTTTTTACTTGGCGTTCACTTGGTGTGCAATTATTTTGTCTACGAGATTTTATTCTATTTTTAAAACTTTAAGTCTTTAAAATTAATTAAAAATCATGTCTATAGCCCGAGTTCCCATCCCCTGTTGTTTTATATAAGAATATTCGAGAAAGTTTAGGGGAGATCACTCCCGGTTTATTTTTATTTATTTTTTTGCACGATTACAAGACTTTCTCTATACTTCGTATAATCGAGAAAGTAAAAACCACTATATTTAATAGCGTAGCTACATTTTGTACTGCAAGCTACTTGCCTATGTTAATAATGTTCATAAAAATTTATCATGCTGATTTACCTAATTAAAAAATTATTCATCAACGATTATCACTGACGTAATAGGGTTTTCTCCTTTTAATTATTATTAACTGCTAATTTTGTTGTGAAAAGATTTCTTTTGATTGTACAATCAGCACCTTTTTTTTAACTACCTGGAACTACTTTTGTTTGCAGCGTTATTTAATCAACACAAGTGTTTCTTCCAGACTTTTTTCTCCGGGGGGGGGGGGGGGCACTTGAAATTTTCGGGGGGGGGGGGGCGGTAGACTTTCTTGGGGGGGGGGGGGCGGATACTGTTAAAAGTATATATTTTCTATATAAATTATATAAATTTCATTTCGTTCGGGCGGGGGGGGGGGGGGGGGGGGAGGGTGATCAACACAACATTGAAGTATTGATAAAGCTGCATTAGAAATTGACGTTAACATTCATGATAAATTTAAAAAAAATTAGATTAATTTAAAGACTGTCCATGTTTGCCACTATCTTTAGTCATAGTTCAGCCAATAAATCTCTCATGCTACGAGAAATACAGAATACACGTTCTAGCAATGTGTCTTAATACTATTTGCTATGTATATCTGTTACTATATTGTTGGCCCTCTAAATGTTGACGTTCACTTGGAATTTAATTGTTGGGGCTGCCTGAATAGGTGGACATTTTAATTTTTATTTAGATAAGTTTCCCCTCTGATAAAGGGATCCAAAATTTTTTTTAAACAATAAATTTGTATATCAATTAGCTGTAGATAAAAGTCTTAAATTCACATTGATGTAAAAGTAAGACTAAAGTGTTTCATTTTCAAATTTTAAATACATTTACGAATTTATTTGCAATTTTTTAAAATTTGTGGTCAGACATTTTTATCACAAATATTTACTTAGTATATGCATACGAGTCCATAGTAATAAGATGGCCATTTTTTTTTGCTTCTTTTGTTGTTGAATTTATAATTTTTTATTTCAGTTTGTCTCCCTTGTATCTATATCTAGCCCATTCGCCATTTATACAAATAAGCCGCGTGTGCCACATCTAGCGGTTTTTTCAGATATTTCTTCGTCTCTTCGTAGGTGTGGGCACTATCCCCCGGAGCACGCCCCCCCCCCCCTCAACAAAATTTGTAAAAAAAATATAATTTGTATGGAAAATATATACTTTTACCAGTGTTGCCCCCCCCCCCCCCTAATTGCACATCCACCCCAGAGGTTTCAAGTGACCCCATCCAAGAAAGACAATCTTATATATACCCTGGTACTAGTATGTACTGCCTACCTCTCTCCATTTTACTCCATTTTTACTATTAAAAGTGGACTTTGTAATATTCTTGAATATTCTAATTTTTCATCGTTCTGACTAACCAAATGTTCCCTTGCCCGTGTTCTCGTGTGGGAGTCGGGGTGGGGTGGGGGTGGGGGCGTTTACCGTAAAAGACGTAAAACTATTTTAAATAAAACAACCAGACCACCCCTCCCGCACAAATAAAAAAAAAATATTCAGTGTGCTGGGTAGCCTACACACATTTTTTTTTTTTTTTTTTTTTTTTTTTTTTTTTTTGCTTTTTATGTAATAAATAAAAATTCCAAATTTTTTTTTCTAAATATTTACTTTCTAACTCTACTCTACCCAGATCTCTAATCGAGTTTAAATTTTACTTTCCACAGCTGAAAGAAAGACTTCGCTAGGCAGGGAATGGCACCCATCCTGTCTCAAATGTGAGCGGTGCGGTAAAGTTCTCTCCCCTGGCCAACACGCTGAGGTGACTCAAGGTTTTATTTTAATTTTGTTTATCTGGGGTTATGTTGACAGGGTGTAGGTTTACCAATTTAGTCGCAACACCATAAACTCCCAATACTGGTATTTTTTAGCCGCTACCTAAGTGCAGCAATTCGCTCCAACATTTATTTTTGTATTATGTAGTTTCCGACCAAGGGGGATAAAGTCATGGGTTAAAAAAAACAACAATAATTATACGTTTATCTCCCTTTTGCCGCTTTCAATTTAAAAACTTTTTTTAAAAAGGTAAATATCATTTACCGAAATCATAAAAATAACTATATCTGGGTTTTTTTTTATATAATTCAGCTTAATAACTTGTGCTACAGTAACAAAATTCTAAGTTAATTCCAAAACAGACAAATGACTCCCGAGTTTTTAAGGACAATAATTATGATTTATGATTCCGCTTTGTCGATAACGATCACTAGGCCGAAATTACTCCTCAATAGCTAAAATGTGTACTGTCCTTTTGTCCTCGTATCTCCCGAGCTAAAATGTCCTTTTGTCCTCTTATCTCCCCAGATAAAATGTGTATTGTCCTTTTGTCCTCGTATCTCCCGAGCGTATTGTCCTTTCGTCCTCGTATCTCCCGAGCTAAAATGTCCTTTTGTCCTCTTATCTCCCTAGATAAAATGTGTATTGTCCTTTTGTCCTCGTATTTCCCGAGCTTAAAATGTGTATTGTCCTTTTGTCCCTTTGTCCTCGTATCTCCCGAGCTAAAAATGTGTATTGTCCTTTTGTCCTTGTATCTCCCGATCTAAAAGTGTATTGTCCTTATTTCCTCGTATCTCCCGATCTAAAATGTCCTTTTGTCCTCGTATCTCCCGAGCTAAAATGTCCTTTTGTCCTCGTATCTCCCGAGCTAAAATGTCCTTTTGTCCTCGTATCTCCCGAGCTAAAATGTCCTTTTGTCCTCGTATCTCCCGATCTAAAATGTCCTTATGTCCTCGTATCTCCCGATCTAAAATGTCCTTATGTCCTCGTATCTCCCGATCTAAAATGTCCTTATGTCCTCGTATCTCCAGCACAAAAGCCTCCCGTACTGTCACAACCCCTGCTACAAGGCTCTCTACGGTCCTGCCATCCTGGGATATGGTTCCAACATTTCCTCCCCGGCCAACTTTGCCCGACCGGACAGACAGGTCATATACGGGCCGGACTTGGGAAACGGTTTTAACGAAATCTTCCGGCTGGAGAACAGCCAGGCAAACAAGGGAGCGAACTCACAGAAAACAAGTGCAAGACAAGTACAGAACACCAAATTGTACGTATTGAGTGGTTTCATTAAAACTTCAATAGTTTATAAGTAAATAGCCTCGGCATCTTTGTGTATTGTTTGCCAGTACGTCGATTCATTATCCCATAGTCATCCATTTTAGTCGACAAATGGGCGGGCATAAAGTCGTAAGTCTAAAGGGAAATAACCGTATGTCTCTGTTGTTTTATTTTTATTTTTTATTTTTTTATTTTGTTTTAGGGTTGGGTGCTCTATATAGTGTCCAAGACTTTTCTTGTGGAATAATTTCGATTAAATTGACCATTTGGGGCCTATTATTTTTATTTCGATGAACAGTTTGTGTGATGAGAGTAATCTTAGGTATGGGTCATCATCAATGAGGGCATGCTATTTTAGCGTATTTTAAAAACTTTCCTTCTTGTCTCGTTCCCGCATCGTCAGTAAATTCTTGTATTAAACCTATGCCGTGTATGACGTCAGTAGACTCTTGTATTAAACCTACTCTCTGTATGGCGTCAGTAAATTCTTGCATTAAACCTACTCCCTGTATGGCGTCCGTAAACCCTTGTCTTAAACCTATGTATGGCGTCAGTAAACTCTTTTATTAAACCTACTCTCTATATGGCGTAAGTAGACTCTTGTATTAAACCTACTCCCTTTATGGCGTCAGTAGACTCTTGTATTAAACCTATGTATGGCGTCAGTAAACTCTTGTATTAAACCTATTCCCCGTATGGCGTCAGTAAACTCTTGTATTAAACCTACTCTAGGTATGGCGTCAATAAACTCTTGTATTAAACCTACTCCCTGTAAGACGTCAGTAAACTCTTGTCTGAAAAGAACCAGGTTTGCGCAGTATATAGTGAGCTGTTCATTGGTGAAGCGTGTAGCTGTTGAACTCTGGCCTTTTTTTAAAAAGATAAACGTGGGTCTCTGGGCGACTCCCCCCCCCCCCACCCTCCACTATAACCACACCCTCCATAGCTACGCCATTGTTGTATATTAATCTCGTAGCCTACATTTAATTTTATTGAACTGCTAATTTTAATCGATTTATCAGTATTGATTAAAATTAAATGCCATGTTTACCTTTCAACAGCCATTTCTTGCTGATAACGTAGACCTACATAGTACATACCGGTTCTATACCGCTAAACTAAAATACAATTCTGCTTTGTACGAGGGGAAAAATGTTTATTTTATAAAGGCCTATTTTATAGCCAAAATATTGGTCGAATAGAAATAAAATATTAATAAATCATGTATTAGTAAACTTTAAAAAAGAATTGTTGTAACTGAATTGGACTTAACAATAAGACTATTAAAACGCTTCATGTTTCAATCAAATAGACTAATGTATTTACAATGGTCAACGATTAAATAAATGGTAACTTCTTTTTTTTAATGTTAGCCTACCTATACCTATCACACTAACCCTAGATCTAGCAATGGTTACGTACGAGTTATCGCCCTGCTTGTGAGGGCAGCACTTCCTTGTTGGCAGAAAGGTGTGCAGTTATATAAAAAAAAATCTAGGGCGTGCGATGTGCTGGCATGATAGAAACACGCTCTGTTACACACACATGTGAACCTCTTTTACTTTAGGCGGGGCTTCAAGGAGTAAACATAATGGATGGGTAAGGCTTCACTGATTCATAATTTTGCATTGTGGTAATTATGGGATTTTTAATTAAGGAAATAAGGTTAAGACATAGTTAAGTGTTCTCTGTTAGTTAAGCACTCATACGCGGGGAGTGATTCAGGCAAAGGTTGAATGAGGTCAACTGTTTATGGAAATGTTATTTTTAGTCTGTACCACATGATATTCTTGTTTAGATGGCGACGTGAACGGGCAATCTGTTGACTGTTGCATGAGCCTAAACAAACAAAACCTCAAACGCTTGACTCTACGATGATTTTCATTTCAGTTTTAATGTAGGCTACAACAAAGCATTCTCTTAGTACTTAGATCTAGATTCTAGATCTAGATCTAGATCTAGTACTCTTAGTTACATGTTTGTTAGTCTGTTCGGTATTTATTAGTCGGTAATCTATCGTTTTGGGTACGTAAAATCGCACGCGGCTATTAATGTTCTAAAACGTTACCTCATTGTCAAGGCTGTAATAGAAGTATATTGTGATACCTAAAACGGTAGATTACCGTCTGTTCTACTTTTAGATATCTAATATCTAGATCTAGACTAGATCTAGATGTCTAGATCAGAGAATTTCAGAGATCTACTAGATCTAGATCTAGATCTAGATCTACTACTAGATCTAGACTAGAATCTAGATCTAGATCTCTAGATTCTATACTTATATTAAATTTATTCTATCTAAATCTTACCTTGACTTGTAGTTTAAAGTATGAATATGCCATAGTTACTTACATTGTTCTACAAGCTACAGGTCCTAGCCTACACTACACTCAGTGAGACAGTGAGTAGGATTGACAATTGGACCAAATGATTAATGAATTAAACTATTAAACCTACCAAATAGTGTAGTTAAGTGTAGGCTTCCCTTTCTGCTAGGGTTGTAGACTAGAGTAGAAGGCCTTGACTTACTACTAATGGTAGTAATACAATGATACAATCATCCTAACCATAATTAATATATAAAATATAATATAATTAACATCTTCTGCCCAGCTCTCCTGGTCATATTAACCTGGAGTTCATTTTTAGCGCAATTTCCATTCTGGAGAATTGCGTTTATTAACCCGTCTTTTCTGGATGGATGGATGTATGGATGTGTGTTCGCAGCTTTAAGTCGTATCTCCTCCTCAACGAAGCAATATCGATGACTAGTTACAAAAACAATTATGTTAAGCAAGTTACGAGGATGAACATAGGCCATAAAAATTCCGGGTTTCTTTCATGGATTTCCCAGAAAAGCCAAAAAACCTCGAAAAAATTCAGTTTTTGGCCCATATCTCGGCAACCAGACCACTTAGCGACTTGAAACATGTACCAATCGATTCCTGCCATAATTTAGAACAATATTGCCGAAGAAAGTTTTCAAAAATATCCTTTCGTTTGGTCACAAAAAATTTTTTGAATTAATTAAAATTTGGACCGAATTAGTAGGCATTTTATGCAACCACACCACACGCGTCATCACGTTCAATAGCTGCGCCATCACGTTCAATGGCTGCGACATCACGATCGGTAGCTATGCGCGCAATGGTTTTTAGTCATGTTACTCTATTGTAAATAAAACATGTAAAATACTGAAATTTCTTTTTATAAAAAACGTTTTAATAACTAACCAATGGTTTTACTAACCCTGCCCTTGATTTACGCTACGACAGAGCTATTTTTAGATAACATAAGGAAATTGCGCTAAAATTGTCACTAGACTTTTTTTAATTACTTGTTTAAATGTTCACATATTTAATAAATTAGCAAACACTTATTTTTCATACTCAAGATGTATCTTGTTATACTTTTTATTTTTAAATTTTTCTTGATGATCTACTCTTTTATCTTCTCAACCAATGGATTCCTTTACTTGTCCGCTAAGAAGTCAACCAATGGATTCCTTTACTTGTCCGCTAAGAAGTCAACCAATGGATTCCTTTACTTGTCCGCTAAAAAGTGTAAGAGGCTGAGGGTGAGCCATCAAGAGCTGAAGTGGACACTTGAGCTGTTTGTGAATCACATGCTGACACACATTAGGGCACTAGACTCGTTACTAAACGCATGCTTCTATCATGATTAGCACAGTCTTATTCTTTAATTCATCCTTTAAAGTATCAGCAGTTTAGTGGAGCTACATAATATTTATAGCAGTTTGCGCAACTGAAGTTTTTTCGGTGTTTTGTGTGTATCAGTACTAAGTTTAATCTTCCTTGTGTTTGATGAAATATTGCATCGTGTTATACTTCCCTTAAGAAATATTTCTTCTAGAATAAAAGTTGAGGAGATCTTATTCAGACAATTCTAGTTTGTGTAGTGTGGAATGTTCTGTATTTGCTCTTGTTTTTACAGTGAATAGATTTTTTAAGCTGAGAAATATAATCACTCATGTGTGACCATAGACTTTACAGTAGGCCTACTAGATGAATGAAATTACTGTTTATTTCTAATTTAGCCTTTAAATAAAAACTGTTTTCATTCAACCAACGGATAAAAGCTGCAGTTATATTGAAGAGAGGAAAAAATTACATTTAATAAGCAGTGTTGATTTTGATTTAGTTCCATTCATCCGTCGGAAAGTTTAAAATGTCTAGTTGGTTTAGGGATGACGACTCTGGAGGTGTGGTGCTGAGGAGGTTTAAAGGGAAACGATCAGGCCTGACAAGGTGTGATATTGACAATACTTTATTGATTTTTAAAAGCATGTTGTAGGGGACACGACAAGTATGTGGCACAATCTCTCAACTAGCAACCTCGTCTGGTATTGATTAGAGCAGTTTTTTAACATATTGATGACATCAAATCTGTATCCACTGGCCTTGACCCAGGTCATCTCAACCCTGTCTGGTATTGATTAGAGCAGTTTTTTAACATCTTGTTGACATCAAATCTGTATCCACTGGCCTTGACCCAGGTCATCTCAACTCTGCTATGGCCCTAGTGTTTTAAATCACAATTATAATTATCATGGTGTATACTTTGTTTATCTGCAATGAAAAAAGCTATGCTATATGTATAAACATCACATACAAATATTAAAACTGTTTAAACTTTTTAATTGGGAAGTCTCACTCATAAAATTGTAGACCTCATCACTCTTTAAAAACCCCAAACCCTAACAACTTATTTAAAGTTTAACAAGGATCGTTCTGACAGTTCAAACCATCCTTGTCAACTGTGCTTCTACCTAAAAAACAATCTTTCAACTTAAATATTTATTATATTTTTTTTAAATTCATTTTAGCATGCACAGTTTTGTAATGGTATTTTCCTAAGCCTATATTAGGTTGTTTTATTTTAAAGTTATTGAATTTTTATTGTAGTGCTGTACCACCACCTACAGGTTGTCCACTCACTCTCTCTCTCTCTTCCTCTCTCTCTCTCTCTTCCTCTCTCTCTCTCTCTCTTCCTCTCTCTCTCTCTAAACAAATAACCCACAAGCAGTTGTTTACACAATACAGAAAGTTTAGATCTGATAAGGAATCCCATTGAGTTCGGAGTTTTTACTTCCTGCTTTGTGTAGTAGTACTACATATTTTTCATGTCAAAGGTCGACTCTGTATATCCTATACTTACTGCATTGACTGTTTCAATTTCTCACATGATATTTTAAACTGATTTGTGTAAAATAAATCTTTTCTCCTTTTGACATATGCATTTTTTGGGGCAATACGTTTGTAAAAGGGTACTTTGGTCAAATGTTCAGACAAAATAGTATTTATCTTGTGACATTATTGGAAATCGTATAGAAGTTAATTTAACTGGCTATACCATCAATGAAAGACACGACAAGGTACTGTAAACACGCTACAGGGGTGGATCCAACTTGTGAGGAGACACTGGCTTACATCATCCACGGGTCAATGACTCTCATGTAGCTAGGACAAGGGCCCCTTTCTGCCTCTCCCTAAATAGGTTCTCCTGACCACCATGTGATTAGAATATGTATACTTTCTACACACTTCTATAGTTAGTAACCCTTGTTTGATTAGTTGGCTCTTCAGTGAGAAGTGTACTGATGTAAACATTGATAGCTGGGTTAGAGAGTGTGTGCTGTGTGTTGTCTATAAGCTCATCTGTAGCTGCCTGGATCCCCTCTGTTTACCCTCCCACTCATGTGTTTTCTCTAGGTGACCAGCAGTGGTGCACGGCCACAGTGGGTCAACACTGCGGCCTACCTTGCTAGTCTCAGGTCTGTGTGCCACTGACTTGGCCCCAAACAAATTTGGCCCCTTGTGTCAACAGCTTCAGTTTGTTCAAAAAATGAAAGAGAAGTACGTGCGAGGGATCATTCATCCATGAGAATCCCTTTTTTCAAGGGTGTTAGATTTTGTCCACTTTTCTAACGAGTGTTTGAAATACTGTCTTGTAATGCATTACAGACATGAGATACTCCAGAAAATAGAAGAGTTTAACCAGTACCATGAGGGCAAAGTTCACCACCAGATGACAGCTGAAGAGGTATTTATACACTCACAGCACTTTCTATTTTCTAGATGGAGTTTCCAACCCACTTATCCAGTGCCAGTATATTCTGTTTTTAAAATATTTGTACAATATTTTGGTTTACTAGATATGTGGATAAAATGTTGAAATTTTAACAGTGTGGAATAAAAATAGCGAGAGTTGATTTTTATTTAAACCAAATAATGCTAGGCAGTTATTTCTAGATGGTGTTTTGAATATTGAATATTGTGGAAAGACCTGTTCATTCACTTTTAAACTGTCTTAACAAAGGACTTTTAGGAATTATTATATTTTATATTATAAAGTAAGGCATAATATATAATCTATTTCATAAATATAAAGCTTGCAAATGATTTTCTTTGTGTGTTTGAGTATACACCTGAGGAAGGTATTTTGTTTTAGGCTCTAAATTTTCTTTTCTTATCTATTTCTTAGTGTGGCTTAGTATTTCTAAGCTAAGACCCTTGACCATATAATTAGAACATTTGTTACAGTATATGCTTGTTTAGTTTTCTCAGAGATGTTAGTTTTGACTAAAACAAAATCCCTTTCCGCTGAGTTTCAGATGGGTGATGGTAGCGTCCATGTGGAGGGTCCACTGCGCATCTACTGGGGCCTCAGCCAGCCCATCCAGCTGGTACACTGTGATAACATCCCCCCTGCCCCCATAGCCCACTGGAGACACAGCCTGTGTGTGGGGCCGGAGTCCCCTGACATTCCAGAGAAAAAATTCTCCAGCACTTTGGTTAGTTAGAAATTTTTTTATCACAGGTTTTAAAAATAAATTTGTAACAGTTCCCAAAATTTTAAATTATCATATCTAATAATTGTCTTTTAAGTTGCAAATAATGATGTCCAAAATATTTCATTATTAATTCTCAATAAGAATCTAATTTTAAATCATCATATCTAATAAATGTCTATTAAGTTACAAATAATGATATCTAAAATACTTCATTATTAATTCTCAATAAGAATCTAATTTTAAAAATTCATATTTGATTTGCATTTGCATTTATATATACCTGTCAACAATAGTATTTAAGGCAACACTTGACTTTTTTAAAACAGCTACAGAATTCTCATAGGAACACAGTATTTGTTTTTGAGTTTCAGGCCCCAACCCCAGTTTTACAAATTTGACTGAATATGAAACTTAATTTAATTCAGAGCTTCAGGGCGACCCACTCACCCAATTTCACAACTTTGACTAAATACAAAACTTTATTTAAGTCAGAGCTTCATTACGTCTTACTCATCCAGTTTATAACTTTAACTAAATACAAAACTTTATTAAATTCAGAGCTCCATTACGTCTTACTCATCCAGTTTATAACTTTAACTAAATACAAAACTTTATTAAATTCAGAGCTCCATTGCGTCTTACTCATCCAGTTTATAACTTTGTCTAAATACAAAACTTTATTTAATTCAGAGCTTAATTGCGTCTTACTCATCCAGTTTACATCATAGTCTAAATACAAAACTTTATGTAATTCAGAGCTTCATTGCGTCTTACTCATCCAGTTTACATCATAGTCTAAATACAAAACTTTTTGTAATTCAGAGCTTCATTGCGTCTTACTCATCCTTTTATAACTTTGTCTAAATACAAAACTTAATTTAATACAGAGCTTCAGGGCGCCCCACTCCCCCAGTGGAAAGAGCAAAGAGCTAGATGACATGTTTTTTTCACCTTCATCCCCCGACGATGTGGTCAGACGGAAGAAACAGGGGGTCAGAAAGTTTAAAACTGTAGCGTACAGGGGGGACCAGCCGACCAAATGGAAGCGGGCGTCCATCAATGGTCATCTCTTTAACTATGATGTAAGTTACAAGTGTCAAACTACAGGTTAACAAAAATTTCATAACTTTGTACATGTTACAAACAGAATAGTTACAAATGAGTTGTATTTTAGTAAATGTTTTATAATTATTTAATAACATTAAATGTGGATGTGTGTTTTACATGTCATTACTGTAACCTATTTCCCAACCAGTGTGTTGCCATATTATTACTGTGACCTATTTTCAGATCAGTGTGTTACATGTTATAACTGTGACCTCTTGACCTACTTTCAGACCAGTGTGTTTACTCCTGTGCTGGGCAGTTGTACCAGTGTCAATGTCCACAGTTCATTGACCTCAGGAGAAGTGATAGAAACTTTGCTGGAAAAGTTTAAAGTAAGACTGAATTTGTTTTTAAAAACAAAAAAAAATTGTTTATTTTTTTTCTTTTCTTGGTGTAAAATATTTTTAGTGCATATTTGCGGTTAATATCAAAAGACATCAATACTTGAATAGATTTGAACTCAACATAACACTGAATTCCTAACCAGGTTTTGTGTAAAAATTATCAATAGTGTTAGTTATCATTACAGTTACCCAATCAAGGGATGCTTTAACCAGTGGTCGTTGTCACCACGCAGTAGTGTGGTTTGGGATAATATGTCTTGTGATAAGTCTTAAAATAACAGATGGCTTTAGAGCCCACAGAAATTAACAAAGCCAAAAGTTTAACACATTAATTCATATAAATAAAGACATCTTTGTGAACACCCTTGATGTACTGTACTAACCACTATCTCCAAAAAATAAGTTACTAATCTTAATTATTTTGTCATACGTTAAGAATATAGAAAAAGTAGTTAATGCTCAGGTTTTGTTTTTATTGTGATGTTGTTTACACTCTGCAGGTACAAAATAGTCCTGATGAGTATGTGCTGTCAATAGTCAGTGAAGAAGGTAAGTGTTTATGTCCTGATATACTCCATGGGTCAACCATAAATTGGAATGAGCAACCTTTTGGGGGGTCATGACCTTTGGTACATGTGTAGGAAGGGGGTAGTTTAAAAATATAATACAGCATTAAATTTGTAATTCTTAAAAGTTTTTGTGGGGATGTAGGGTCTTTGATGTTTTTTAGGTAATATATTGTTGAGGTAAAATCTATAATGAACAACTTATTCCATTTGCCACTGTTCTCTAAACCCATCTGATATTAATTTCAATCTCTTGTATGCATTTTCTAATTATATGTTCCTGTGTGTGTTTGTAGTGTAACATTTTTTAAAACTCTACTGACACATGACCAGGTGAGCGCATTTTGTCCAGAACTGACAAACCCCTGCTGGAGAGATTAAAACTTGGACCAAACGAAACTTTGGGTAAAATATTTATCCGTGAAGCTGGCGGCTCGTCTGTCACTCACAGCACCAACAGCGTCAAAACTACCATCGCAGAGACAGCAGAGGAGGAAAATCTACCTCACGAAGTAAGCAGCTGATTGTATACCCTTACACATGGACTTTGTTGGAATGGGGGGGGGAGCAAATTTTTTTACCCCACAATTTTATTTGTGTGTGGAACAGTTTGGTTGAATGGTAGGATGTTTGGCTGCTAGCCCAACGGTCTTGACTTTGCACTTGTGACTGCAGGACGTACCTGAGTCCACCCATCTCTGATGGCTACCTGATTTAAGGTAGGGAAAGTAAAGGTTGCTGGGCTTAGTGCTGATCACACCATCCTTTCATATGCCGAGTTACATGAGCTCTACTTCATTGGCCCAATGGATCTGTTAGTCTAAGGAGGAACTTTACTTGAAGTCTACATATGTAAAAAGTAAAGTTCCCTTTTGAACCAGACAGTCCATAGAGCAAGTGAAGTAAAGTTCACCTGTTTTGATGACCTAGACTTTTGAAGGGGTAATGTGGTCAGCACTATTCCAAGCCGCCTTTACTTTCCCTAACCTGAGTTTTGTCAGCTCAGAAACATGACCTTGTTATCTATGTAAATCTTTTCTAGCTTTAGAGACATTGCTTAAGAGGTAGCCCTTGTACATAGTTCACTAAACCTATAGAATGTCCTGTTTAACAATTGTCTAGCTTTAGAGACATTGCTTAAGAGGTAGCCCTTGTACATAGTTCACTAAACCTATAGAATGTCCTGTTTAACAATTGTCTAGCTTTAAAGACATTGCTTAACCTGTAACCCTTGTACATAGTTCACTAAACCTATAGAATGTCCTGTTTAACAATTGTCTAGCTTTAGAGACATTGCTTAACCTGTAACCCCTGTACATAGTTCACTAAACCTATAGAATGTCCTGTTTAACAATTGTCTAGCTTTAGAGACATTGCTTAACCTGTAACCCCTGTACATAGTTCACTAAACCTATAGAATGTCCTGTAACAATTGTCTAGCTTTAGAGACATTGCTTAACAGGTAGCCCTTGTACATAGTTCACTAAACCTATAGAATGTCCTGTTTAACAATTGCCCATATCTGCAGGTTGAGCAGCTACTAGTATTACCTGAGGCAGTGCTTCGAGGTATTTTAGAGAAATTTTTCAAAGATGAGGAGAAGGAGGTTCAGACACTTAAAGCCAGGTGAGATCTTGATGCTAGCAGTACCTGTGTAGTTTTTCTCTTTTCTCTATGGGTGTTTTGTCTGTCTATTGGTATTTTGTCTGTCTATTGGTTTTTTGTCTGTCTATTGGTTTTTTTTTTGTCTGTCTATTGGTATTTTGTCTGTTAAATAATATTTTGTCTGTCTATTGGTATTTTGTCTGTCTATTGGTATTTTGTCTGTCTATTGGTATTTTATCTGTCTATTGGTATTTAGTCTGTCTATTGGTTTTTTGTCTGTCTATTGGTTTTTTGTCTGTCTATTGGTATTTTGTCTTTTTTTTGTCTGTTAAATAATATTTTGTCCGTCTATCGGTGATTTGTCTGTTAAATAATATTTTGTCTGTCTATTGGTGTTTTGTCTGTTTAATGGTGTTGTCTGTCTATTGGTGTTTTGTCTAACTCTTTATCTATGTAACTAAACTACCTTTTTATCTGCTAATTTATAACACACATTATATATTTAAATGAATCACAACTCAATGCCCTACACATTGTTTCATTTGAAGTATTAATTTATTGATTGAAGAAAGAAAACTTAGTTTTAAAATTAGAAAAAAAGTATTCACAGGAAAAAATACATGTCTGTTTGAAAAACAAAGGATAAAAGTTATTTTTGTAATTTCTTAACTTAATCTTTTTCATAGAAAATGAAAGTATATGAGTTTAACTACCAAAATAATGAATTGGATTAGTTATAGAATAATGGGTTCCACACTGTTGAAAAAAAATGCTGTTATTAGTGTTATGCTAGTGATTTTACAAAACTATTTCTATAAAATATAAGATCAGCCATAAGGAAACTTCAAGATGTAAACACATACATATGGTTCATGGTTTGTAATGTTCTTAGACTGACAACAATACACACTGTTTACTCCTTAGATATGAGAGGTGTAAAAAACGAATCCAGCAGAGGCTACAAGAAATACAATCTTTTGAATCTTCGTCCAGAGCATAGCTTAGGTCATAGCAATAATGAACAAGTCAATCACACTTTGATCCAATACAAGACAGCAATAATGAACAGATCAGTACAAGACAGCATTTATGAGCAGATCAATACAAGACAGCAATAATGAACAGAACAATACATGACAGCAATAATGAGAAGAACAATTCAAGACAGCAATAATGAACAGAATAATACAAGACAGCAATAATGAGCAGAACAATACAAGACAGCAATAATGAGCAGAACAATACAAGACAGCAATAATGAGCAGAACAATACAAGACAGCAATAATGAACAGAACAATACAAGACAGCAATAATCAGCAGAACAATACAAGACAGCAATAATGAACATAACAATACAAGACAGCAATAATGAACATAACAATACAAGACAGCAATAATGAACAGAACAATACAAGACAGCAATAATGAACAGAATAATACAAGACAGCAATAATGAGCAAAACAATACAAGACAGCAATAATGAACAGAACAATACAAGACAGCAATAATGAACAGGACAATACAAGACAGCAATAATGAGAAGAACAATTCAAGACAGCAATAATGAACAGAATAATACAAGACAGCAATAATGAGCAGAACAATACAAAACAGCAATAATGAGCAGAACAATACAAGACAGCAATAATGAGCAGAACAATACAAGACAGCAATAATGAACAGAACAATACAAGACAGCAATAATGAGCAGAACAATACAAGACAGCAATAATGAACATAACAATACAAGACAGCAATAATGAACAGAACAATACAAGACAGCAATAATGAACAGAATAATACAAGACAGCAATAATGAGCAAAACAATACAAGACAGCAATAATGAACAGAACAATACAAGACAGCAATAATGAACAGAACAATACAAGACAGCAATAATGAACAGAACAATACAAGACAGCAATAATGAACAGAACAATACAAGACAGCAATAATGAACAGATCAATAACAAAGCAACCAAATAAAGCAGTCAAACTAAAAGCAACAAGGCCAACAACTGTGATCAAGTTCAATGCAGCAGTAACAGAGGATTAATACAACTGCTTTCACGGAATAATGTAGGCTTTTCAGTTTCTTAAAAATAAAAAGACTACTTGAATACAATTTAATAAAAAAAAAGGTTTTACATGACAGATAAAGCATGTCTAAAATAAGGTGTGTAACAAATGTAAAATACTCTCAGGTCTAGAGTCAAAATGTAGGCACTGCTGTATATTTTGAGTTTGGTCTTCCTTATATAATTTAGCAGAAAGACAGACTTCACAGATGATTTATTCAGCTTACACTAACATTGAGTGTTAAACCTCAAAAAATACTTGTGTAATTTCTTGTATTATTTTACTGCAGTCTGTAAAACCTAACCTAAAAAACCACACATTTAAGGGTTATTAAGGCTTTGAGTTCAGTGTTAAGTTTGCATTAAAATATGCTTTACATGTTTTTTTAGCAAAGTATTAAATACAGTCCTGTAATTTTGGTTTAAATAATTTTTCAAAAATGTTTATACATATTATTAATTTGTGAATTTAGTGTCACACCAAGGCTACTGTGTTTCTGCAGATGAATCAGTGGCTGGTGTTGCTGCTGATCTCATGTCTGTGAGACAGCTGTTAAAACAAATTTTTTTTTTATCATGAGGTTGCCAAATTTTTGTTTCTCTGTGCTTTTTATGTAAGGGGCAACAACCTAGTGGGACTAACATGATATTTTAGAGATTGAAGCCTGTGGATAGTTGAAACTGAAGTGGTGAAATTTTTAAATATCCTGTGCTTTCAAATTTACTTGTCAAAATAATTGTCCTGTATAAATTTAAAAAATACACACACTGATATTTTTAGATTGGCATCACCCATATTTCAAAGCCTAACTTAATTTTAAAGAAGGAAGAAATTATATTGTACAGCTTTGCAGAATTGAAAGTTTTGCTTACTGGTCTGAGAAATTGGTATTAGATAATTTTGAACTTATCAAGATCTGAATGACTCTTTATCAATGATTATATTGATTTTTAAAAAAATATAATTTTAAATTTTATTCTACAAAATAAACTCAAATCTCAGAAAAATGAAATACCTGGCTGGCACTGGAAGTCTTGAGTGCGGTGTCCAACTGGTGCTTGTGGACCCAATCATCTCTCTATCAATGGGTGCTTGTGGACCCAATCATCTCTCTATCAATGGGTGCTTGTGGACCCAATCATCTCTATCAATGGGTGCTTGTGGACCCAATCATCTCTCTATCAATGGGTGCTTGTGGACCCAATCATCTCTATTAATGGGTGCTTGTGGACCCAATCATCTCTCTATCAATGGGTGCTTGTGGACCCAATCATCTCTCTATTAATGGGTGCTTGTGGACCCAATCACTGAACACTCATGGAGAAGATTTTGTAGAGCTTCCTAAATTTTTTTTAATGTACACTTGTAAATGTTGATATAATCAGCAAATTATTGTGTTGATAATCAGATTAATATGCAGATCTACTGGTTAGCATGCATGTAAACCTCAGGTAATCTGCATGTTAATCTGACAAAACCCAGATAATCTGCAGATTATCCTATATAAAACATGAAGGTTGTGAATAGCCTTGAAGTTACCTTTGAACTGTGACTATGCTTTTGGTGATATATGTACATGTGTATTTGATTTAATTACATGTGTATTTGTTTTTATGTCAAGATTTGTACGCTGGTTTGTACAAAGTGGCAACCTCTCACTTTCTGCAGGCATTGCCAGTTAATGTTACTAAATTTATCAGGTGGAGTTTTAGTACATGAAATCCAACCTTTAAATTTGACCAAAAATGTTACCATTATTTCAAAGTACCATGGCTTCTGTCTTATTTTGAAAAAAAACAATGCCAGTTAATGACCTTTACCAAAAGAGAATTGTTTTAAAATGAAAGATGTTTGTTGCCCAGATATTTGAGTTGACCAGATATTATGTTTGCATCAACAAATTACTTTCAATGGTGGAAGTATTTGCTTACATGTGCTTTTCATATTTTGCTGCTTCATGTTCCATGGTGTCATTTTGCTTTATCAACTGGAATAACTGCATTCAGAATTGGATGTTGACTTCTGCCTGTTCATTATAGAATGTAAATTTCTCGTGTTGATTTGCCCAATGTGATAAGTTTAGTACTACCCTGTGTTTACCCATGTTGTGTGGAACAGATGTATTTCATTTAATTTCCTGTGTGTGATGAGTGTGTTAACTTGTTTAGCTTTCCCCAGGATGTTAAATTGTTTTCAAGGCAGCCAAAAAAGATTTGCTTCACTGGCTTTGAAATATTTTTTTTTTGCATTTTGACATCAGCCATCATTTTGTGAGATCCCTTTTGTTTGTAAATATTTTATTTATTAAAATTTTCATATCACCTCATTTGCTTGTGTATATTTCCTTGGAATAAAAAATGGATAAATGGCATTTTCTATAACTTGGTGGAAAGATTCTTCACTAGTGCAATGTTTTATTTAGAGTTAAAGAATTTTAGAGATGTGTGCTTTTTGGGCTCTATTAAACAGTACCATGGGAAGTTATGGTAAAGCACATAGTAGCCTAAATCAACTCAGCTCTGATGGGTACCTGACACAAATTGGGGGACTTTTTAAGCAGCTGAGCATAGTGCTCACCACACTGTCCCTACCAAAGCAGAGGTAACAGTCTGTAAAGGAGTACTTTTACATTATAGAACACTTTCTTGTTCAATTTCTTTTAGGGTCTATGAAGATGTTTCCAAATTCTCAACACATTTTTTTCAATATCACTTACTATCAGGTGGTATTAAGTTTTAGAATTTATCTGTATCCTGTGTGGAACATCTGCATAAATTTAACATGTCATTAAAAAAAACAACAACAGTGTATAGATTCACATTGTTATAATTTCAAAACTCATTTAAGTAACCCAACGAAAATGTAAAAAAAAGTGATTACAAAGATGAAAATAAATTTGACGCTTTCTTAAATGAGTAAAAACGAAAGGTGCCGGAGTTCTTGTGTGAACCTTGTTTACATCTGCTAATATAGTGACGCAGATTACAGGAATGTTGACTAATGGCAATACAGTAACATGCTGTTGGCTAAATAGGATACATAAGTTAGTATAATAATACTAAATGGGACTGTGGAGTTGTGTTCATACAAGTCACACTATTGGCTATGACTTAATCCACACAGGGTTCTGATGAAATCTGAGTATTTAACAAATGAAATACTGTAAGTATAGGAAGATTATATTATATTGCTTGACACTGGCTTGTAGAAACAAACAGTGGGTTGACTTTAGGCCATTGTTCTTTAAATGCATCACTTTAAACAGTAACAATTTGTTCCAACTATATGTTGCAAACACAATTTGTTCCAACTAAATGTTGCAAATACAATTTGTTCCAACTACATGTTGCTAACACAATTTGTTTCAACTAAATGTTGCAAACACAATTTGTTTCAACTAAATGTTGCAAACACAATTTGTTCCAACTATATGTTGCAAACACAATTTGTTCCAACTAAATGTTGCAAACACCATTGGTTACAACTACATGTTGCAAACATGTTCTAAACATCACAGAGCTATAATGGGCAGTAAGGGAAGATAATGTAACAATTCTGACAAGGAAAAAAATGTTTTTGCCAAATATAAATCCCCCTTTAAGAGAAAATAAAATATTGCACACAGTAGAAATACAATTTTCTTCAGTTACATCCAATTAATAATTGTTCTTAAATAACAAAAACATTAATTTACCAAAAATATGAAATTTGAGTACAAAAGATTTTACCCCAAAATCCCACACATGAAGTTATATCATAATAAAGATACAATAAAATAAACCATTATCCAGATCTTTGGTAATTAAAAAAATGTTAACTTCAATTAATACCATATTACAGTGCAAAGAATTATGGTACAAAAATATAAATAAATCCAGTGTTAGGTGCTTATAAAATAAATAGAAAAAGTTGATTACCTCATAAACTCTAATTCTACAGTGTTTATAGGTAGAACATGTTTATATTGTAGGACGGAGAGTATTTTATTTTCATTCACTCATCACAAGAATTTGTCATGATTACATATACAATCAGAAATATCACATTTGATCACTATCACAACCAGGTACAATCATATGGTACAACAAACTATGGTACAACGTTCTTCACAGAGTACAAACCAAAACCAAAATTGGATTTCACAATAATATGAACCAGTTTTAGAGCACCTCAATGACAAATTCATAAGGAAATGTCTTGTTACTGCTGATGATTTATGAAAGGTTATGTTATTGTTATGGTTAAGTAAAAATCAGCTGCCTGTCAACCTTAGTATAGGTTGACTTGATAACAATCATTGACGTATAGAAAAGATTTTTTTTTACTCTTATCCCTTTACTGTCTTGTGTGCCCAAATGTGCCTGAGATCTTTATAGGCAGTATTTTCATTTCAGCATAGTAATGAGATTTTTAGATACCGAAGCAGGTCAGAAACAGTTTTATTTACATTTTTTTTTTACTTGTATAAATAATTAGTTAAATTATAAACTAACAAAAAGGTTACTGCTGATGAATTCAACATTGATTAAAGTGTAAATAAAAAGATAAAAAAAGAAAGTAGTTAAATAGAAAAAAAGGTTTTCGATTCCTGACAGTAAAGGGTTAATGGTAAATTAATTAGCTATTTTGAATCCCAGTTGCATAAAGCATCTGTGTGAAAACACGAAAAAAAAAAACCCCAATAAATTTAATCCATCTCAACATATTTAGCTGTGTATTTGAAGTGAAGAGAAAACCAGGCTTCACTTTCAGGCTATCTGTCCTTATCTGTGCTTCTCCCTTACAGGTTAAATATGTTCATTTGTGCTGTACTGTCCTCTTTTGGCTATCTGTTCTTTCTGTGCTGTCCCCTTCTTTAGGCTATCTGCCCTTATCTGTGCTGTCCCCTTCTTTAGGCTATCTGCCCTTATCTGTGCTGTCCCCTTCTTTAGGCTATCTGTCCTTATCTGTGCCATCCTCTTTTGGCTATTGCCCTTATCTGTGCTGTCCCCTTCTTAAGGCTATCTGTCCTTAACTGTGCTGTCCCCTTCTTTAGGCTATCGGCCCTTATCTGTACTGTCCCCTTCTTAAGGCTATCTGCCCTTATCTGTGCTGTCCCCTTCTTTAGGCTGTCCAGATCTTTGTTGTTTCAGGCTGTCCCCTTGAGGCTATTTGTCCTCACAGTCCAGACTCAACAGGGCCTCCATACAAGCAGTGTAGCAGAACTGGTACTGGTCCTGTAACATAGGTGTTTGTTATAGTAGATAGTCAATTAAGAGAAAGTAACTTAACATGTTTGAATATTGGAGGAAATCAAATAAAGTAGCTTTAAGAAACAGCTGGTTTACAGTAGTTTGTTATTGTTGGGTCAACCCCAAGTCAAGTCACCTTTACTTTCCAAGACCTTAGTGAAGTCCTACTGAACTGAGCAGGGAAGTAACTCAACCACAGTCTACAAAGTAACTCAACCAGAGTCTACCATTCAACAATCATACCAATTTGTTCAATTAGTGACTATCTGAGTATGTGGTATGTCAAGCCGTGTGATCCACTGTTCTATAGTCATGATGTAAATAACAGAAGCAACAGAACTTACAGTTGTTTGAATCATGCCATATCTTTGTTTCCTCAAACTGCTCACTATGTCATATAAATTCACCTGTTAGAATGTAAATAGCGTGTTCATTTAGTTTCTCATTGTAAACTGAAGATAGTTACATCAAAACCATTTATATGCCTTCAATTTTAGATAATCGCCATCTTATCTTTACCATAAAAATACTATTAATTATTCAAAAGAAATTATTTTTTTAAATAAATCAAGACTAAATATATCCTATCAAACATATATTTTTACAAATTTTTAGATAATAAATCCTTTTAAAATAAAAAACATAATTTTTACTATATTAAAACTACAATTTAAAAATAAATAAATCATTTGCCCATCAGATATAACAGGCCAACACTAAAATCTGGCTATGACAAGTATAAAAAAGATGAGTACCTGTAGGCCCTGTTCAATGGATGTGAGAGCAATGTCTACTGCTATAAAAGTCCCAGTTCTACCAATGCCAGCACTACAATGGACCAGTGGGGGTGACCCTTGCTCAAACAGATGGACCACTTGAAGTAGCTGAAATATAGAGAGAGGAAATAGCTGTATAAGCCTATGACCCATGAGTAGGGACAAAAAAATCACAGTATTGGGTGGATGAAATGAAGTTACTTAGGACAGCTGTTACTTAGGACAGCTGTTAAATATGATCTATTTTAGACCTCTGTATTGTGACTCTGCCTAGAACCATGGATCAGCTAATTAACTAAGTGTCCAGACATTACACTATTCACACAAGAAACAAACATGTACCTTTAACAAAGGGAGAGCAGTCTCAGGAACCCCATGATCAGGCCAACCAGTGTATTGCAATAGAGTAGCTTCCCTTCCATAGCCAGTGCTGGTTTCCTCAATTGTCATGTGCAGCACAAATATCTCTTGCAGGTGGTAACTTCTCATCTGTTTCACTTTCAAGGCCCTTTAGACAATTATAATTGGTACATTTTTTAATTTAAGCTAAAAAATTTCATTGAATTGCTTTCTTAATGTCAAAACTGTGATTCATCTAAAGCTTTATACTTTTTTTGTGTATAAAAAACAAATTGTTGATAGTATTTTTTTTTAAATACACAAATTAGCTCTGAAATTATTTTTTATTATAACATTTTTTTAGAAAAAATATAACTTGTATGTATCAAGTATTAGGCTTGAGCAAGGACATAAACTAACAGATGCGTGATGTATAAAAACTGTTACCCATTATAAACCTCCACAATTTCATCTTTAGTTGAGGGCCAGTAACAGTTGCACTTGGCTTTCCCCCCTTCAGTGACCTGGGTCAGCATGGCAATGACGTTGATCTTCTCCTGCCATATCATGTACCAGAAGTCTGAGACTGAGTCGGTCACAGGCCCCTGGCACGCGATGTACCTCAGCTGCTGCTCACCCACACCTACGCTGATGTAGCTGGCGTTGATGTAGTCGTTGGGCATGTTTAAAAGCTTCACTCTATTCTCATCATCTGAAACAAAATATTTTTTGTATAGGTCAAGCTGGGAAAAACATTTACTACATGAATTATCAATATGGTTTGGTGTATGGTATCATGCATGTAAAAGTATACATATCATATTGGGACAGAGTATTGAGAATAAAATAATTCTGATTATATCAAGATCCATACATAAAGGGATTTAGAACTTGGATTGAGAGAAATTGGCATGAATTTTAACTGATGAAATTCAAGATCTTTTAATTTTGGAAAATGTAATGTAAAATTGTATTTTGTAAAAAAAATTTAAAACTTTGAAATTGTTTGTTGGATGATGTATGGACAATTTTATAGCTTTTTTTTTCAATTTTTTTTTTAAAAAGTAATTTCAACACAACATAAACACAGCCATACAAGTGAATGAAGCCAAAAACTAGAGTGACCTACAGGGTAAGACATTCCTGTATCTGTTCTTGGACTTGTTGGATGCCATTCTCCCCACATCACACGGACTGGTTTCTTTCATTTGGTGAAGATTCTGGGTCAAAGGTTAAAAGGTTACTCTAATTGTAGGTTGTATAGTACAAAAGTCTAATTGAAAGATCCTTTGCAAGGTAGTAGGGTTTACCATGAGCTTAAAAGTAAATAACTATATATAGATGGGGGGGGGGGGGGGGGGGAAAGCCAAGAGTGACCCCTAGAAGCACATACTTATATTGTAGAAACCAGATGTTTAGAGGTTTTAATTCACTCAAATAACTATGAGTAGACAAGATGATTCCCTCAAGCTCAATAAAACTAAACAAACCAACTGTAAACAAACCAACTGTAAACAAACCAACTGTAAACAAACCAACTGTAAACAAACCAACTGTAAACAAACCAACTGTAAACAAACCAACCTTAAACTCCTCACTAGGTTCCCCTCCCTCCACAGCATCAGACAGCTGTTGGAACAGCTGAATCAGGTAGACATCATTGGCGTTCTGACTTTTGCACAACAAGGGGAGCTCATCCAGCCATTCATTGCTTAAAATCACAGGCACATCCATGCCCACCTTGCGAGGGGAAACGTACCATTCCAGAGCTGTAAAAAAATTAGCAAAAACAACATTTTAAAAGCATAATACATCTGCTTCAAAAAATGCAATTAAAAACAAAGATACATTTTAAAAAATATATTTCACTGAGATTAGATTCCTTCTAAACAAAACTGATTTCTTCATGATAAAGATTTACCTTTAGATCCTTGAGCTGCCACAGGTTTACTTGTAGTGCTTGGTATAACTTCATCTTTGGTTCTCTCCATTAAGCTTAGTGCATCTTCAGCTAACGAGCTTATATCTTCATCAGTGTCTACAGCCTCTGTAAGATTAACCTCAATTAATCCCTAGCCACACCCAAATACATTATAACATACACGATTCCTTTAGAGAATTACTTTGGGATCAGCTCTCTAAAATTATTTTACCAACTTAAGAAATTCAGCAGCTTTATTAAATTTATTCAGGAAACTGCTCAGCAAACTGAGTAGTAGCGTTAATGAAAACTTGTATTTCTAAATAGAGTTGAATACTTGAAATAGTAACTAATCAGGCTTATAATGTAAAAATATTATTACCTTTTGTGTAGTTTTTGCCATCTGCATGAACTTTACGCTTGTCAGATCTGTCAGAAATTTTGTTTTTGTTTTAGCTAGTTTAGGTTAAACAGTAAAATATTTTTCAGCTAATAATTTAATTATAGAGAAAATATTTTTTCTTTCTTTAAAAAAATAATTTAAAATAAAAACTGCATGATATATTATTATTCATTCTAAAGTTGTGGGTGGTTACCTGAGGACTGTGAGCGTAACCTCTTCCCCTGCCTCTCTGATGATAGAAATAGCTTGGCTTTTTTCAACACCATTCAGGGAGGTGCTGTTCACCTGTGACATGGGAGATAACTATATGAATAGGAAAATCTGAAATTTTGCTGAATTTCTGAACAGCAAGACACATAAAAGAAAAGGCTGTGCAACCTATCTATTCCGTCTCACTTTGAATAATTAATGCAACAAGTATCTCAAATATCGGAGCGCTCCATTCACATTTCACCAGATGATGTTAGCCAGATCTAACCTGTAAAATTTGATCCCCAGCACACAAGTGTCCATCTGTTTCAGCTATTCCACCAACTTGCAGTTTCTTGACATAGATACCAGAAGCTCCATCATGTGAACGTTGTACAATACTAAAGCCCAGGCTGGCCTTTGCTTCCCCTTGCCTCTTTAACTTGATTGTTAACATATTCTGTTTTAGAGCAAAAATTGGGCATATTTCATAACACAAACTAAATCAAGAGACATATCAATATAACCACACAATTGGACATCACTATTGTAAACAGTGGTTCTAAAAACAGTCAATGGATTACTTCATGTGTGTCTTCACTGGGGTCTTCTGGTGGTAGATTGCTTGAGGTGTCTTTGCTGGCCTTGTAGTCATATGGTTTAATGACAGCCTTGGGAGTGTCCAAAGATTTGACCAGTTCTTTGACTGGCCTTTGGGTCACATCAGAGATTGGTGCTGCTGACTCACTCACAATGGACACATTCTGCAGGGAAATCAATAAAAACACATCTATTTTGTCCTTTCAATCATTTGAAATCTTTCAATTATTAGTGGTGGAATGCTAATATACCAGTTTTCTTCATTATATTTTAACTTCCTTTAAGAAAGTTATAGATTGCCAACTGAGTACAGTTAATACTTCACTTATGTTAATAGTAGGTAAAAGTGATGGGGTGGGGGGGGGGGGGGGGGGGGGGGGGGGGGGAAGGGGGTGTGGGAAGAGATGATACTTCCCCAACTAACCTTCAAATTTGTAAGGTTCTCTCCCCTGCTCACCCTGCCTCTGAAGGATGGGGGCCTCTCAAGCTGCAAGTGGACAAGTTCTGGAATCTTCCTCAACAAAGTGACGGCTTCAACATGGCTCAGGACTGTGGCATCTGTACCATTTATCTGTGTACGTAAACATGTCAGATATACACAAATGTTAGATTTACTTATATACACTAAAATGTTTAGACTGGATTCCAAATTAACATATTGCTTTAACATATTCTAACATCTTTTTTTCTAGAATTTAAAATATTTTCAACACATAGTTACGACTAGAAGACGACAAAACATTCCACTGACCTTTTTGATTTTATCCCCTGGCCTGACCCTGCCACAAGAGATGGCAGGGTCAGATATCAGCTGTTTGACATAGCAGCCACCAGTGTTGGCCCCACCAGCTACTGTGAAGCCAAAGCCTTCATGCTCTTTGTGTAAACTGACTTCAATTACCTGCAAGGTAAGGCACAGATCTCAGTTTACTTGACTGTCTATGTGGTGAATGATGGCTTATTTGTTTGATTGAACATGAAAAATGATTGCTTTTATGTTTGAAAAGAAATTAGGTGTGTTGAAACAGCCATAAACAAAGTTACTGTGTAGTGAGAACAAAATGAGGTGTATTAGAAAGATATTGTGGTCAGAACAGTGTTATATATAAGGCAATGTACCTAGTACAATGTCCTGTTCTAGACTGTAGTGTTTACTGCCCACATAATATAGCTCCATGAAATTCAAATTACTTTCTCTGCATCTGAACTTTTTGTTGGACTAACCCCTTACCATGGGATGGTATGGTTTTGCAGTAAAGAGCTAGACTGGGTTCAAGTCAGTAGAATGTCATTGAGTCCACCCAGCTCTGATGGGTACCTAACTCAGGATAAGCAAATGAAGCTGGGCATAGTGCAGACACTATCCCTTCATATGCCAAGGTCTCTGAAACAGATGAACCCTACTTCATCTGCCCCATGTGGATTGAGCAGGAATGGAAAAAGATGATTAATCCCCTACCATTAAGGCAAGCTGTGTGGATGGGACAGTGTCACAACTCTCTTTTTGTGGTGATGAATGAATAGCTCACCCAGTAGAAGTAGAACCAACAAAACTACTATCAGATGACAAAGTCAACTTATAAAAAGCTAAAAACAACCCAACTCACCTCTGGGCTGCTGGGTGGTGGAGGTTGCTCAAACATTGCTGCCATCTGTCTGATGCTGGACCTACTGTTACCCTCATCAAACCTCCGACTCTGTAGCTCAGCCACTGCACCACCATCCTCGCTGTGGCCTCTCTCCGTGGGACTTGAACCATCAACCTGCTCAAACTTGTTCAGCCTCAACAAAGATTTCCGCCTTTCTTCTGAAATCTTCTGTGGGGATCTGATGACTGATTCATTGGAGGAAGACTGGGAGAAGCTTTCAGGGGAAGCTGTGGGGTGGAGCCTCTCATTCAATGCATTCCTTAAGACATACAACTGCTCGTTGAACTCTGAACTTTCATCTCCTTTCAAGGTTACATCAGAGAAGTCAATGATATCACTGTCTAGAAGATTCTCTGGGGTTGATCTACGGTACCCTTCAGGTGAAGATTTGTCTAGCGGACCTTGGGACATGATTCTCCCAGCATTTATGTAGATGGTCTCTAGCTCGGAGCGGGAACTGTCCAGCACATCCGAGTCTACATCACTCTGGGTGTTAGACTCTGAGCCAGCCATGGTTACTGGCCTGATTTTGATTGTATCCTTGAGGTTTGATCTTTCTCTTGCTGCTGATGAATCTGATGACTGAACATTGGATGCCTGTTGGGTGAGGTCGTCTGATATGGGTTTAAACACCTGGTGGTCATGGTACTTGAGGTAGGAGTTTTTCACCTGTGGGGGCTGGTGTGGATGGGCCATCAAATCTCCATCTAGAATATTCTGAAACAGAATATTTATTATTAAACTGATTTTCTTGACTTTCTGAGTAATTTGCCAAGTTTACAATGTTAGCGTAAATTGGCCAATATTGTACACATAACCTACTTGATTATAAAACTGATTTCCTTGATTTTCTGAGCGAGAGAGTTTCACAGTGATGACATCCAATGCTGAGTCCAGTATTGCTTGTGCGTCCTGTAGTCCAGTGATGTTTTTACCCTCTATCTTCAACAGCCTGTCACCTGGTAAGTTAAAAAAAAATTCAAGTGTTAATAAAGCTAATTTAACACCATATTGATCTCTATAACACAGGATGAAGCAAGCATGAGTAGTTTCCAAATATAAATGTTTAGGTTTAATGTGAACAATAAAAGTAATTATTATTTAACAAAATGATTTTTAACCCAAAAACAATGTACATAAAGACAAGTAGGCCTACCAGGGGACAAGACTTTTTGCTGCTCTGCTGAGCTGCCTCTCAGGACTTTGGTGATGTAAACTCCATCCTTCACATGACTGGTGCTGTACTTTCTCTGGAACACAAGACATGATGGAAGGATTACGTAAGGATTAATGATTAGAGGTCAGATGAATATTTTAATAAACCTTTAAATTACATGAAAAAGACATGAGCTGAAGGAACAGTGTAAAACATTGCAAATACTTGCCTCTATTTCAATTCCAAATGTACCATTTATCTTCTCCAGGGTGACCTCATATTCATCCTCACTGCAAGTTTCCAATTAAAAAATTAAAATTTTTTTTTATATATTTATCGTAATTGCAAATATTAAATTAGAAAACATCTTTTTTTTACAAATAAAACCAATAATGATAGTTGCAACCAGAGAAGGACATATAACAGTGACCACCTTAAAGGTTTCTCTGCTGGGTCCTCCATCAAGCTGTAGTTGCGTGTGTTGACAGCCTTGTTCCCTACCACTACTTTATTCAATGGCCCTTCTACAGTCTTCTTCACAGCACTCTCAAAGTCACTGTCAGATGATGAGTCCTCTCTATCTAGTGCTGCAATGTCTTTTATCATACAAGAAAACAGTATTGTTATTAAATGGTATCCAACACAAATACATACAGATTCTCTCTCTCTCTCTCTATATATATATATCTATGTGTGTGTGTGTACAAAGGAATAGAACTGAACAATAAATATGTGTCAAGGGTGATAATGCAACAATTATGATTATAATAAACTGAAAGGGAAGCAAACCTAAGCAATTATAAGCCAGGACTTATAGAAACAGATGTAACTCTTTATAAACAAGTAATCAAATTTAACAATAAAATTTATTGTTAAAAGTTGCAAAGCTTATCTAAATAGAAAAAGGGTAGTGTAATCTGATGATAAACATATTTTAAACTTAGGACTAGATTTGTACTGTAACAGTGAATAAAAATGAATTGTACTCACCACCTAGTATCTGTAGGGCCTCCTCCTCCTCTTTAGTCAGCTGACCATGATAGAAATCTGCAGAAGCTCCAGGAGTACCCACAGGTGACCAGCTGACTGACTCCCTGTTCAACTCGTACTGCAGCTCCTGGTCCTCACGAAGTTTCATCAGAACGTCATCGTCCAGTTCATTGTTGTTCACCTCTGGGTAGCTCTCCTGGCCATCCTGCTGACCACTGCCAGGTTTTCTCTTGGGGTTTCCAATGTCAGCCAAAGACAGAAAGGTGTTGGGGTGTGTTGTGGTTCCCACAAGGTTCTTGTGTCTACGTGTATTGTCTGAAGTGAGGTGCTCTAAAAGTTGATTCTCCTTGTCAGAATTGTAGCTGTCACTATCACCATTATTTCCATTTTTATAAGGGAAATTACCAGATTGCAAATAATCACTAGTGATATTGCCTAAATACTCATCTTCATTATATATAGATCCTAGACTATTTCTATAGCTACTGCTATTGATCAAAGAAGAATTCAATTTTCTCATAAAATCAACATGCTCATCTTGATGGTTGCGTTTCTTTATAGTGCCAGGGGGTCGAATCTGCGAGACAAGAAGAGTTATCCTATCCCCGCCATCTCGAATCATTTCCACAGCCTCGTGGTGTTGCTTCCCTTCCAGACTGACCCCGCCTATAGCAATCAGCCGATCACCTGGCATGATTCTCCCATCTAGCTCTGCTGGACCCCCTGGCAGTACAGATTTCACAAAGATTCCAAGGTCTAAACTATTGGTTGTCTCCCCTCCTACAATAGTTATCCCAATGCCTAACTTCCCTTTCTTTTCTAATGTGATTTCAAAGATGCGTCGCCCTGTTTGTGGATCTCCCGAGATAAAATATTGAGGGGTGGTGTAAGGGGGAGACACCTCTGCAACAATACAAAAGAGGAGGGTTACATTACAGTACCAATACAATTAACATTTGAAAACATTTTTAGTACAAGTTACCCTAGAGCAACTTAACACCTGTCTTTAATTTTTTAAATGCTGATTTGGAAGTCAAAGCTGATGAGTAAGCAGACAAATAGTCCCTTGTAATGATAGTTACTGTCAACAAACAAATCCACAAAATGTGGTTCTGAGAAATTTTTTAATGTATTTACTTGCATCTGTGTACCAACAATTTTAGTTTTCTGCTTTTATAAGACAATTTGAAAACTTAAAAGTTGGTTTTTATACAACAGCCACTACCAGTCTATGCAAATATGAATTAATAATTAGTATTAAGCAAAACTTCCACCCCCCTCCCCCCAGCCATGAAAAAAGAATATCCTTAGTACCCACTCCAATTTTTTCAGCTCTAGCTTAAAATAGCTCAAGGCTTAAGAGACTCATTTCATTGTGAAAAATTTTAAAAGTAGTTAAAATTATTACTGTGTTCTTGTGGCCAAATAATTCTAAAACCTTTAGAGTGTCTGGTACTTAAAAAAAAAAAATCAAAGAATAATTAAAATCTAAAATATAAGAATCCCTTGAAGTGGATAAAGAGCTAACATAAAAAAGTATTTACCATCATAGTCTGTTCTATCACTGACTACTGCAGAATCCAGGCTTAAAGACCTGGAACTCATGTCTGGAGAAGAGAAAATGTAATTGTTGCAAAGTTATGTTACAGAACTCTTGTGAAAGGGGGCAAAACATACTATAGATTACACATACTTATGCATAACTTAATGTAAACACTATGTACAATTTATCGGATACTTTCAGAGTGTTATTAAAAAAAAAAATATATATATATATAATGTGTTGGTCAAAATAATTTAGTTAAGATGTAGTGAGTTATTTTAAATATTTAATGCTGCTAAATGCAGATTTGCGACCTGCTATTGAGTTAGAATCATGATGAAATAGTGAGAATACCCAGCAATAGCTGCAGCTGATGCTCATCAAATGTTGTGTTGGTCAGGTCTGATGTAGAAACATGCAGTGGAAGTGTGCCGAGCTCAGGAAACACAACAGGTCCTCCTAGAATTTGGGCCATGCGAGGAGGCTGGTAGGGAGGGGGGCTGTGAGGGCAGAGTAAAGGATGCAAACAAAGTTCACATGCAGCATTCTGGTTACATGCAGAGTACAGATGGCATTATGTTATATTATACACAAAGAATGGTTTTACTTAAGGTCCATTAGTAGAACATTCTTACAATAAAACAAAAAAAGGGAAGAGATAGACTTAATACCTAACAGTCCTCATTTTAATCAAGTACAAAGCTGAATTAGTAGCATCAAGATGCATAAATCATAGCAAAACAAATTTTTTTTTAATTAAAATTAAGATAAAAGAGGTTTAATAGACAAAAAAAATTCAGCAAGACAAAGTGAAATTAATAATCTGTTCAACATGCACAGGCAAAATGCTTTATTCAATCAGAACTAATTGACAAGATTTCAACTCAACAGATAAACCATGCTGAACTTACTTTCTATACTGGAGAGGTTTGTTATTTTGTGTTGATTGTCCTCCCCAGTCTTCTTCATCCTCATCATCATCATCAGGCAAGGCCTTATAAAGAGATGAAAGAAGTATAATTGTAATATTTACATAAAACCATTTTTCAAAATACTTAGCAAACAAATCAAAAATTATGTTTTTGAAACATTATACATATTTATTTATATCTGTTTGTCCAGTGTCTTACCTGTTGACTTGGGTCTACATATGCAGGTAAAATAATGTCCCCATCATCCTGTTCTTGAACAGCATCATCACCAACTCCAGCATCCACTGTCTCAGGGCTAACCTCTACACTCAGATCTCCTATAACAAAATGTTCATGATAAATTTGACCAACTGCTGATTGTCTTAGAATTAAGTTTTATTTTCATGATAAATTTGACCAACTGCAGATCGTCTTTGAATTAAGTTTTATCTTCGTCATAATTGTGTCCAGATTTCTATAATCAGTATGTATCATGGATAGATAACAACTGTTATCTATTTAACAGACTTGATGTACATTTGTAAATGATAATTAAAAGGAAATAAAGAAAGATGAATGCAACTGAATGAAACGAAACTTAAAGTAAAAAAAATATAACAAAATGCTCAACTTTTACACACCGCTATCATGAGGAAAAACACACAACAACCTAAAATACTAGTTAAGATTAACAGAAATGGCTCATAATGGGGGTATTCAAAAACTTCACAGAATGAAAACGATTGTTTTGAGCAATGAGTAAGAATTAATTTAGTAATTAATGTGTGGTTTTAAATGCATGTTGAAAAAATAGTGTTCATAGATTGCCTACCTGCCAGAGTTTCCATGTTGCTGGGTCTTGTCCTCATTCTGATCTGGAATCTATGTTGGTCAGTGGAAAACTGCAGTAAGTAGCGGCCCCTGCGAGACAAAAGACAATGGGAAAGAATTATTTTTTTTACAAAATTCTAATTTAGTTTCTCACCCTGTTTTCTCAGAATGTGCTCATTCTAATAAAGTAGGACCTCTAAGTCATTAATAATGACACAAGCATCAATTTTCTAGATCGTATGAGTTATATAAGATTAGTTTATTGTTCTGTGAGAGTATAATATATGAAGTACATGTAGGATAAAAACATCGGAAATGAAAAAAAAAATATCTACAGCTAAAGTTATGGTCAAGTTTAATAATTTTGAATCTACATTATTTTTATGGTGCAATGCCTATCTGCATGGAGCTAACTTCTCTACTACTGGCTCAAAAAATATAACACAGCTTACTTTCTGTAGGAGTTGGTGTAGAAGTTTATCTTAGGTGGTTTCCCTTTACTGGTCTCCACTTTGGGCTGAATGCTGAATCTCCTCTTGTTGAAGGATATTTTCAGGATAGAATTCCATGGGTAGTCTTGGACAATGTTCCTGCCCTGGACCTCTGGCTCAGCCAGGGTCAGGCTGTGCTGGGACAGGCCTATCCACATGAAGTTGTCTGTATGAGACTTGCTCTGTGACATAACAAATACACACAATTTAAATAAGACAGGCCTATCCACATGAAGTTGTCTGTATGAGACTTGCTCTGTGACATAACAAATACACACACAATTTAAATAAGACAGGCCTATCCACATGAAGTTGTCTGTATGAGACTTGCTCTGTTACATAACAAATACACACAATTTAAATAAGACAGGCCTATCCACATGAAGTTGTCTGTATGAGACTTGCTCTGTGACATAACAAATACACACACAATTTAAATAAGACAGGCCTATCCACATGAAGTTGTCTGTATGAGACTTGCTCTGTTACATAACAAATACACACTATTTAAATAAGACAGGCCTATCCACATGAAGTTGTCTGTATGAGACTTGCTCTGTGACATAACAAATACACACTATTTAAATAAGACAGGCCTATCCACATGAAGTTGTCTGTATGAGACTTGCTCTGTGACATAACAAATACACACACAATTTAAATAAGACAGGCCTATCCACATGAAGTTGTCTGTATGAGACTTGCTCTGTGGCATAACAAATACACACAATTTAAATAAGACAGGCCTATCCACATGAAGTTGTCTGTATGAGACTTGCTCTGTGGCATAACAAATACACACAATTTAAATAAGACAGGCCTATCCACATGAAGTTGTCTGTATGAGACTTGCTCTGTGGCATAACAAATACACACAATTTAAATAAGACAGGCCTATCCACATGAAGTTGTCTGTATGAGACTTGCTCTGTGACATAACAAATACACACACAATTTAAATAAGCCAGGCCTAAAAAATGGTGGGGGGGAAAAATCAATAGTAAGCTAAAAATCTATTAACAGTAAACCTTTTAAAATTCTGTATATCAAATAAACCACAAGTAAACTACACACCTTAAACAGCCGGTGGAAATGGATCCCGTACTCAGACAAATGGCGCACATGCTGCAAGTATTAACAGTGTTACAGATTAACTCACTGATTAATAATTGGGTAACAATTTAACAGATGTATTGAACAGATTAATCCATGTGTAAAAGTGTTTTACTGAACAGATCAATAGCTGAGTAACAACTTAACAGATTTACTGAACAGATTAACAGAAAGCTTAACTGAATAGAATTGAAACTACTGGCAACAAATAACATTTTTACAGCCAAATTAAACACAAGATGACATTAATACTGAACTTACAGTAACTAAATATTTTTTTAAACTGGTATTCAAGTAAATAGTTTTTTCTTTATGCTGGCAGTAATGGACACCAAATCTTTCTTTGCACTGGCATTCTTTTGTGCGTGGTCTCAATTATTATGTTGGTGGGCAATTCTTCCAACCTAATAAAGTATTCCATGTCAACATGCTATGCCCTATAAGTCCAATTGACTCAGATTCCAGACTCATTTTCTTTTAGATGTACTTCCATAACCTTAGTTCAACCAAGAACAATCTAAGAGGCAGAAGTTTTCTGATTCTGGGGTTGTTTCTGCAAGATGGGTTGATGTCCCCACCAGCTAGTGAGTCTCACCTGCTTGAGGGAGGGTGGGGACTTTTAACAATATCACACCCCTGCCTGCACAGCCCCCCCCCCCTCCCACACTGATATTAAGTCGGGTTGGTTGTGTATCTATCTGTCCCCAGCAACAACAAACCCAATAAACTCCTTAAAGTACCTTAATATGTGTATCTATCTATCCCCAGCAACAACAAACATAATTAAAGTACCTTAATAAACTCCACTTCAGCCTGAGAGCTCCCAACACCTTTACAGTTCTTGTGTTCCCTCACAGCATTGTTGTACAAATAGGCAGCTCCGTATCTTTTGATGTTCATGTATGAGAAGTAGTGCTCCACGGCAAAGTATCCCTCAGTGGGCATCAGTGAGTGGTCACCATATTCAGCCTGCAGCGCTAGCCCAGTTAACCTGAACAAGGCATCAGAGTTTCCTGTCACTCTTTCTTCAAGGATGTCTTTACGTAGTTGCAGGTACAGCAGGTGGTAGCTGATGGTGTGTCTAGAGAGGTCAAACAAACGTCTGATTAATATCATTTTAAGAATGTGAGTCTAAATTAAGAGTTTTTTTGTAAAACTTTGGTTATTATAATTTTAGTGACTGACATTTCAATAAAGTTTGATTATTGCAATTTTATTGATTCTGACATTTTAAAATTTATTACAATTTTGTTAATTCTAACATTTTAAAGTTTGATTATTACAATTTTATTGATTGTGATAAGCTAAATACTAAAAATGATGTAACTATTTCAACAATTCTATATATAGCAATTCATTTCAATAAGCATACCAGGAAAAAGATGCATCTTAAAAAATCAACAGCCTACCTGAAGTCAGTTAAGGATTCTGGGTAGAACTTAATCCTGACATAGAGGGTAAAGGTTACAGGGGGAGAGTGACTTTTAGGTCCTTCCTTCCAGCCTTCTGGCGACACCTTGTGGAGCTTTGTGTCAGCGTCCAGGAAGAAATGTTCCCCTTCTGTTGGCACATACAGGGATCAATATCATTCAATGGGTAGTAGATTTTACTGAGTACAAGGTACTAAGATCATTATTCTTAAAGGAACTAGCATTATGAAACAACAAACCTAAAAATCATAATTACACATATTTTACATTAAATTGCTTGTTTCTCTGTTTCATTGAATCTTACCACAAATGTAGGTCAAGCCAAAGAAGAAAAAATCATCCAGATCCAGGTATGGAATGACCGCATCAAACAGCTGCCTTCCCATGATGCTTGGGTCCAGGACAACCTCCAGCCTCTGGCCAGTGAGGTGGACAACAATCACTTTTCTGGCAGATGCTGCGTTCTTTACACCCTAGTGGAGTAATAATAGTCAAATATATTTAACACAATGAATACTTGACTGAAAGTCAAATATATTTAAACACAATGAATACTTGAATAAAAGTCAAATATATTTAACACAATGAATACTTGAATAAAAGTCAAATATATTTAACACAATGAATACTTAACTTGAAGTCAAATATATTTAACAAAACTAATTTCTGAGCTAAAAATGTGTACTTACATCTCCAAACAATGGTAAAGCTATCTTGATCGGTGGTCTATCACTCAGATGGAAAAACTGTGGTCCACTGTATTCCTACAAAAATAAAATCTTCCATTTATAAGACTTAACAAAAGAAAATCTAATTTTCATAGGAAATGAATTAATTTCTTTTTCACTGATTAAGTGCTTAATTTCAAATTGTATGTTTAGTCTTTTATTTTATGACATGTAAGCGGTTATATAAATACTTTAGAAATTGCTTTAGTTGAATGAAAGATAATGTGGACAAAGGCCTCACACACCCTGACTTTGACTGGCTCTGTGTGGGGGGGCTTTGTTGGTGCTTCAGATGATGGCTGACGTTGAATTTGTTGCGGCTGTTTTCTTGGGGGCTTAACTTGTTGCTGACTTTTCTTTTCAACATGCTGGACCTGAGGTTGTACCAGAGGTTGCACCTGGGGTTGCTGCAGGGCTGGTACAGCAAATACGGTTGCTTCTTCAGCTCTGAAAAAAATATCTCTTTCATGGAACAAGTTAAGCATAAAAGTTGTTTTCTCACATCAGTTTTCATGAAAAAAGCAAAAATTTGTGTCTTAAAGTAAGATGACTGTAGTATGGATGCCCAAGCTAAGATGACTGTAAATTCTAAAAGGATGTACCTTAAATGACCAGTGTAGTCCCCAGTGTTTAACAACAGTGACAGCTGACTTCCAGTATCTGTCTCTGTATCTTTGCTGTAGTTTAGTGCTGCCTGTGATCCCAGCTGCGCATGCAAGTCTGGTTTGTATGTTCCTGGATTAAACAAGGACAAATGTGTGGTGAGCCAGTCGTAAAAATGGATCTACCCCTGATTCTATTAACCAAAAAGGTATTGTGATGATGCGAAAAATAGGTAAAAGAAAGGAGAAATATAAAATAGAGTAGGTCAGCTAGAGATTGGTCAAGCTGAACAGATAGAATTGCCCAATCAATTAGGAACTAACTGACCAGTCATGTATGATGATCAGCCAATCAACCCAAGCATTAGAGCCGTTAGTCAGTTGAGAAAGTTGAGTGTTGGAAGGCAGTTGGACACAGATATTGTTAGGAGGTGGTTGAGTTGGACTTGGGACAGTATATGAAAGTTTTATTTCTATTCCTAATTAAACCAATCTCTCCTCACAACAACTTCTCTTCAATCCTCAAATATAACTGAAATTTTAATTATATTCTCTTTTTCACTCCCTTATTCATGTGTTATTTCCCTTATTATCTTTTATTTACCAATAGCTATCACACCGGAAACTATCTCAACATAAAGGAACACTCAACAATAGTAATAAATAAAGAAATAGCTTTTAACAAAGAGCTTTCAACGTACCTAATGTGTATGACATCAGTGATGCCATAGAACGAGCATCAGTCATATTTTCACATGACATTAAAGTAGGTGTCATTAGTCGACTGCGGACATCACTTAATGCTGACTGCTGTTTGCCACAACTGTGAAAGATTTAGTAATTCAACTTTCGTAACATAATAACTTTTTAAAGGAAAGAAAAAAAATTTGGTCATTTAACTTTTAACATGTATAAACTATGCAGACCTAAAAATTTTTGTGGTTTAAATTTAATGGAGGGGACAAGATAAAGTATGAGATAATTACCGAGCTTGACGCAGACGAATCTGCCGTTCTTTTAACTGTATGTACTTTTGGTATGCAGGGCTGCCTTGTCTCTGGCCTAGCAAGCCCTGGACTGAGTATGCAGCAGCCTTGAAACAACACAACAGGCAATTTTAGGTTAAAATTTAAGTACAGGCAATTTAAGGTTAAAATTTAAGTACAAAATATCGTGTTTATATTTTAAATTCTGTTTTATGATTAAAACAATACAACAGGCCTAAGGGGTTAAAATTTAAGTACAAAATATCGTGTTTATATTTTAAATTCTGCTTTATGATTATTCTATTTTCTACATTCTTAATTGTAACACTGAAGCGGATCAAAAAACTATTCCAACTTTATAGTTTTTTCCTCCAGCATAATTAAACATTTCATGCTAACTGGCATTATTTCTAATTAGCTGCTATACACTGAGTAGAATATAAACAGAAAAATGATAACCTAGGGTTTTTTTTTACCTACCTGTGAATACCTGGTTCCCAGGTCAGAGTAATTACTAGACGAGGAAGTCATGGAAGTGTTTAATAGTTGTGATGCAGACGAGGTGGCTGTGGGTGCCCCATGTGTGTCGTTTGACCCAGGCAGAGGGGCAACCAGCTTCTGAGGAGATGTAGAGCCTTGGTAGCTAGCAGTCACAATCCCTGAGTCAATGTCACCTGTGTTCACATGAAAGAAAAAGACAAAAGCAATAAAAATTTTAACTATGCAAACAAAACAAAATATGTAGGCCTATCATGTAAAAAAATAACAAATGGAAACTCATAAAGACTAGTAAATATATAATTTAAATATGCAAATTCAATAAATAAAGCTTCACTAATTAAATAAAATATAGTAACCTCTGTCTCTGCTGGGAGAACGTGACCGTGACCTGGACCTTGAACGTGACCATGACCTTCTGTGCTCATGCCGATGTCTGACACGAGGGCGTGGCCTGCGGGCTCTGCCAGGCTGCATGGACATCAGGCTTTGGTGGCTCCAGCTGCTGCTCAGACTTTCATCATCCATGAACCTCTGGTTCAATGTAAACAATGGAAAAATGTATCCAACTTTTTATGATCCATATTAACATCACCCAGCTTTTATAGGATTTAACTTTTAAAAACCCTTATATTGTTTTATACAAATTATTTGAATTTATAAAAATCCATAAATATTAGTGACCTTTAAGAAAATAAACTCATGCTCTAGAAATCTTAATGTAAACATTTTCTAAGAAAAAATCTAACCACGAGGAAGATTTTCAGTTACCTTTAATTGATTTCCAAGAACAGATCTGTAAAGCTTTGACAAAGTGTATGTGTTTGGAGGTTTAAGTGAATGTGAACTGGCTTGAAGTGCACAAGCCTGTAGCAAAGCAAATACAGCAAATAAAACTCCTCTCTACATAAAGGTTTTTATAACATCTCAAAATGTTATACTAATTAAAGAAATACTAGAATTTGATGTCATCTTCACTATTACAGCCTCCTAATGAAGGTTAAGAAAAGTGTATTACACAGTATATAATAATGCCACAAAGGCGCATACTACTTCTTTAATTATTCTACATTGCTTTAAATATTTTTGTAAAACATTTCGTAATAGATAATGCAGTTGTTTAATTTAAAAAAGCTTGAGTTATAGCAAAAAGAAAATAAAGATCTTACTTCTAAAATAGACATCAAGCTCAGTCTTATAGATGCATTGCGCTCACTCATGGCTTGTAGAAGAGAATCAAGGTCATAACTGATACCCAGGACCTGGGAGAGAGAGTAATATACCAAAATAAAAACTTGTTGACATCAAGGTCATAACTGATACCCAGGACCTGGGAGAAAGAGTAATATACCAAAATAAAATAAAAACTTGCTGACATCAAGGTCATAACTGATACCCAGGACATGGGAGAAAGAGTAATATACCAAAATAAAATAAAAACTGACATTGTGTGCATAAATGTACGTTAGCCTTATATACCAATATAAATTTCACTGTTTTCTCAAATTTATTTTTAAATTGTTCACCTCATTCTCTTTTAGACCAAACTCTGAAGCCACTTGTAAGGTGCGACCCAGAGAGTATACAAACATCTGAAATAGAAAATTAGGAATATTTTATCCACAGTAAGAAAATCCTAAACAGTGTGTAACTGTAACTACAAAACAAACTTTTTGAGCAAACAAAAAATAATGAAAATAAAAAGTACTCAATACTTAAGTTTTTACCTTTTCAAAAGCAGTATCTGAAAATGGCTGCTTTAAATTAGCTTGCAACTCTGGTGCCATATATAAAGAGCCGTGCAGATTGTGGGCAACTTCTGTAAGCATTATAGTGCCATTATTCTTTAACAATAAGCTGCTTGGTGTAATCATATGTCGAAACACATCTGCAATGACCTCTCCTAAAAACAAGAAGAAAAATTCATTTTAAAATTACCGACTTAGTTCTTGAAGGACAAATGTTTTTATAACTGATTGCTTAGGGTTAAACATTGTCTCATTGAGGAAATACCTTTGATTATGATATCCTGCAGTGCCTCAGCACACAGACAGAGGAGAGCCCAAATTTCTAGCTCTTTGAGTGGTCCCCCTCTGGTCTCTAGAATTTCTGAGAGACTCAGAGGTAAGGCAGTAAGGCTTGGCATACTTAGAATGTTTATAGTATCTGAAACCATAATCAAATGGAACAATATTAACATCATAGAAAAAGGGAAGGGGGGGGGGGGGGGAGCTGCTGCATTCTAGCATACAAAAAACATAATAAAAACAAGAATCTAAATAAAACTTGTAATTTGTTACCACTTTAACATTTAAATTTATTAATATTTAGATATAAAAATAAAAGTTTTAAAAATGTGTTTTTCTTAAAAATAAATAAGTTATGTAACCCATTATTACACCACTGATTGATCAATGCATATATTATCAGATTGTGAACAATAAATATCATAATTTGAATTAAACTTGGAAAAACAAATCATTAATAACTCATTACTATATTAAAAGTGAAAAGGACAAAGTTATTAATTTACTATCCATTATTGTCATACAGTAGACTCTCTTGAAAAGGTTGGGGGGGGGGGGGGCTGTGTTGTGTAAGGAGATGTAACATCAAAGCTCTTATATAGGGCTACAAGTGTTAGTATGAATTTGAACCCTCCAAGTAGTCTCTTAAATAACAGTTACATTTGTGTTGCTTTTTGTAAACAATTTCAAAATTAGGAATGTCAAACCACAATTTCACATCCTAAAACTGTTACCCATAAATTTGTTTTTTTACCCACCCTCTTCCAATGACAAAATTCTGCCTACACCAATGGTTTGGAATAGTAGTTGACAGTTTGCTTTTCACACAGATTTAGGCATTATTCAGACACACAAAATAGAAGAATACTCCAGAGGCGTAGCGAGGGGGGGCGGGACATATGTCCCCGGGCGCCAACCTTAGGGGGCGCCAAAATGGATTGGAAAAATAAATTGAAAGGTTGAGGGAAGTGCAAATCGAAATCTTGAGGTGGGGGGTGGGGGGTGGGTGTGGGTGGGTGTGCAAGTCGAAAGTTTGAGGGGGTGCAAATCAAAAGTTTGGGGGGGGGGGGGGGGTGCTACGCCTCTGGAATACTCAAGATAAAGGTTTAAAGGTTTTTGCCTTGATCAATTTTATAAGGGCAATTTCAATTCAATATTGACATACCAAGCAAACTTAAAATCAATACTCTATATATTTTAGAAATATTTTTCTTTCTAATAATGGAATAATTATGCAAAACCGATCCTTCATATTTTCTTTAAAAACAACAGGAATGCAAATTTTTTCAAGTGATCAATTTTAGTGCAAACACAACTGCACCAACCCCACTGCATCCTTTGCTGGTCCTCATTTACAGTGGAGAGACAACATTATTAGACTAAAATACTGATTACATACCTTAATTAATAATGGGACGGAGTGGTCTAGCGGTAGACTGCTAACCCTTAAGTCTCAAGTTCGAATCCGGGTTTAAGTCAGTAGACCGTCCCCGAGTCCACCCAACTCTGATGGGTACCTAACTCACGTTAGGGAAAGTAAAGGCGGCTGGGCATAGTGCTGACCACACTATCTCTTCATATGCCGAGGTCACAGAAACAACTGAACTCTACTTCACTTGCCCCATAGACCGTCAGGTTTGAAAAGGGAAACTTTACTTTTACCTTCATTAATTATTCAAAACGCTAAGCAAAACTATGGTACAAGGCAGAGTAACCCTAAAAAAGACTAATTTGTTAGTAGACACTTTTTCTTCTTTAACTTAAAGTAAAGAAAACAGCAATAACCTTGACATTTACGGTGAGCTATATTATATCTAGAAGCTAATTTTAACACAACTTTTTAGCTAAGCATTCAATGGTTCAAGTTTTGCAGTGAGGAGGTAAGTTGCGAGACATACCTGCAGAATCACTGGTAAGTAATGAGACACAATTTGCAAGACATTTTTTGTTTCATGCTTTTGGTGGTTTGTTTTTTCTCCAGACGTAGGAGAAGAAAAGTTATAAACTAAATAAACTAGTGTTGTATGTTGTTTTTAAACTTTCTGGATCAAGTTTAGATTTTTTTAAATATTCAAAAATCTTCTTAACATCATTGCTCATATGATAGCTTGCTTACATTTTCTTACAGGTGGGAGACAAATCTTGTCTCTGTCAATGGGTCACCTTGAGTTCACAAAGAAAATATTAAACTATATTTTTTTAAATCTATATCTAGATCTTTATTTAAAATTCTAAACACCCACTTCTGCCGCTTATGTTTTCTTTTCTGCATGAGAAAAATACCACGGTTTAAGGGGGCACAGGCAATGCATAACTTTAATAAAGCTCAAAGTCTGAGCAATAGCTGTATGACAATTGTGCTTGGAGTCATTGTGAGTGTATATATAATACAAAGTGTTCCACACAAAAGAAAGAATGCAGTGTTATTATGTGACCACTCTCCCACACTATTTTAGTCTAAATTCTCTAGATTCTAGATCTAGATAGTCACTAGGACCCTTCCCTACCATATATAAACTAATAAACTCACTTCTAGTCTGTCTAGTCTCTAGTAACTTAATAGTAGATCTAAGTGGAGGTAGTCTGAGTGACAATCAGCTGAGTATAGTTATAGTCTAGCACAGCTAGATCTAGATTCTAGTTCATTATTACACATTTTTCTGTTGTTTTTTTTTTTAGCCCTACTAGCGTGTACTACTTACTTATTTTGTTCTTATTTAACTAGATCTAGATCAAGTTCTTTTAGATCAGGGGTCTCCAAACTTTTCAGTCCGAGGGCCGCATTAACTCTCAAATTTCAGTTCGGGGGCCAGTTTCTTCCAGACATGTCTTTGATTTTTCTGGGCTAAGTTCCTCAGCCATCGCCAACAAACGTTTTTTCCGTGGACAAAAAGATCTCCGCGGGCCGGATAAGAGGACGTCGCGGGCCGCATCCGGCCCGCGGGCCGTAGTTTGGAGACCCCTGTTTTAGATCTAGACTTAGACTGTCTTAGACTAGCAATACTAGATAGATATCTATAATCTAGAACTAGATCTAGATACTAGACTCTAGATAGATTCTGATCTTGATTTTATTTTTTTAGATCTAATCTTAAATCTAAATCAGAAATCTAGAAGAGATTCTAGATCTAGATGACTAAGAATGTAAAAAAATCTAGATCTAGATCTAGATATGAGCCAGCTGAGAGACCAGTAACCACTGACTGACCAAGTAACTTACTCATAACAGTAACCAGTACCACTGATTATCATGATGAGTCGTGATCATCGTGATGACTGAGTAACAACAGAAGTCAGAACTGAGAAGTCAGAAGATTGAGAAGAATGAATGAAGTATGAAAGTTTAATTTTGTCCTTAGCCTTTTTATTAGTTAGATTCGTAGATCTATATCTTGCTATTCATGCAATTAGGCATCTATATGAATTAGATTATATTTACTTATAAATCGAAATGGATTATTCTAAGCAGCCTTGGTTGCCAAAGTTTATCGAAATAATGAGTACGATGCTTCCGCCATATTTTGTTCTTTTATTTCCTACATCTACTCAACTCAGCTTGTTGCCAGGTGTCAGTGTTATTATCGTGAATACTTGCTAGACTAAAGATGAATTAAATATTAAATATTTTGATCTAGAATCTATAATTCTGAGTGTTTAAAACATTACTTCCATGTGCATTAAAGCTGATGCTAAATTTTAATTTATTTAAAATTTGTTTAATGGGACATTTTAGTTTTAGTTGTCATAGGTGAAGGATTTTCTAAATGCCTTTTTATTTGGCGATATAGTAATGAAGCAACTTTGGCCATATTACAAAACAGTATGCTAGCCTAACAGCCGAGCTCATGCTATAAATAAATGCAACAGGTGTAATTCCTAATATTATTAAGAAGGTCGATGCTAAAGAAGGCCTTAATTCAAAAGCTGGTTATCCGAAGTAACAATAGAATTTATATTGATTTTAAGAGCATATTAAACCACTCTATTGTAAAACGCTCGTCAATTAATTATCACACCTGGGGGAGGAATGAAGAAGTAGGTTCTGACTTTTGAGAGGTTGTATCACGCGGTCAAGGGTCTAGAAAAATGTGAGCTCGTGTGCAAATCGAATTAGGTTTTTTGTGTGGATTGAAGGGGGGGGGGGGGGGGGGGCGGGTAGATGAGGAGAGTCGGAAGGGAGGTAAAATCGGCTTGATATGGGGATATGTAAAATACAAAGATGCATGCTAATCTTAAACTGTATATGGCCTACAGGTCAATATGAGCACCAAAAAGTAACCTTTTCCAAACGTCTACAATTGTCAGTACGGACTGTGCACAATAAAGGGCCTTAAGTGCGTATAATCAACTTTATATTATGACTTTTTGAATACTCTACCTTAATGTAGTCACAGATAATCGAACAAGGGAAATTGGGTTTAATAAAAATATGTGTTAGAATAATTGTAATTTTTTTTTATCAAATGAGAAAGAAAAAAATCTTAATAGCTACTCCTCTAACATTTCTGCAGATTAAACAATACAAACCACTTGGGGAAAAAAAAACACTGACAAAACGAACAACTTCATTATTTGATTATGTAACTAGAAAAATATTTTCATCTTTATTTGAAAAGAGCCGAAAGTAAATGACACATTTACTGTTATCTACATTTACAAGATGCTAGTCTACATCATCCCTGCTTATTTAAATGGTTCTCTTACTGATCAAAAAAGGTGTCCAACATCGACAAAGAAGGTATAATTCGAACAAAAGGGGCGTAACTGGAGGAAGAGGGGCATGGCTGAAACTAAAGAGTCATTTAATATAACAAAAAAGAATAATTTAGCAATATCAAACGTCACTCTTCGGCAGCTTCTGATAGTGAACTGGTTTTCAAATCTTCTAATTACACACTTCTTTTTCAAACGATCACTTCCAAATCACGTTATTAGCCTTCCGAGTCGACTATGGGGTTGTCCTTAGCCAACTTCGCATAATTTTTAAAGTGGGTGCGGTTTTCGTTGAGGTTGATGTTGTGGTGAGGGTTATGGTTTACGGTTCCCAGAAAGAACCGCAACGGAAAAAAGCGCAACGGAAAAAAGCGCAAAACAAAAAGCGCAACGGAAAAAAGCGCACACGGAAAAAAGCGCAAAGAGAAAAAAGTGCACACAGAAAAAAAGCGCAAAGAGAAAAAAGCGCAAAGAGAAAAAAGCGCACACAGAAAAAAGCGCAAACAGAAAAAAGCGCAAACGGAAAAAAGCGCACACAGAAAAAACCGCAAACGGAAAAAAACGCAAAATGAAAATAGTCGTTGAATATATAGTGAACAAGAAAAAAATAGACGTTGTGTCAAGCGATTATCGCCTGTATCGTGGTGATGTGAATGCACATGGTAGTGGTATGCTTTAAGTGGTAGTATATCGCGTCAGGTCAAACACAACACTCTCACAGCAGCCCTAACAATCATGTATAAATGTGTCATCTAGTCCTTATAGGTCTTTGTGCGAAAATGGCTCTTTGTGCATTTTTCGGTGTGCACAGTTTTCTGTGTGTGCTTTTTTCTGTTTGCGTTTTTTCTTTTTTGCGCTTTTTCTGTTGCGCTTTTTGTCGTTGCGCTTTTTTCAGTTTGCGTTTTTTTCCGTTTGCGCTTTTTTCTGTGTGCGCTTTTTTCCGTTTGCGCTTTTTTCTGTTTGCGCTTTTTTCTGTGTGCGCTTTTTTCTCTTTGCACTTTTTTCCGTTTGCGCTTTTTTCTGTTTGCGCTTTTTCCGTTTGCGCTTTTTTCCGTTTGCGCTTTTTTCCGTGTGCGCTTTTTTCTCTTTGCGCTTTTTTCCGTTTGCGCTTTTTTCTCTTTGCGCTTTTTTCTGTGTGCGCTTTTTTCTCTTTGCGCTTTTTTCTGTGTGCGCTTTTTTCTCTTTGCGCTTTTTTCCGTGTGCGCTTTTTTCTCTTTGCGCTTTTTTCCGTTTGCGCTTTTTTCTGTTTGCGCTTTTTTCTTTTTGCGCTTTTTTCTGTTTGCGCTTTTTTCTCTTTGCGCTTTTTTCTGTGTGCGCTTTTTTCTCTTTGCGCTTTTTTCCGTGTGCGCTTTTTTCCGTGTGCGCTTTTTTCCGTTGCGCTTTTTGTTTTGCGCTTTTTTCCGTTGCGCTTTTTTCCGTTGCGGTTCTTTCCGGCCACCATGGTTTACGTATTATTATATTTTTTTTGCAAAATGGCATACGTCATACACCCCTAAACAATTTATAAATTAAATGTGTAAATTAAATTAAATTCTGGACTTAAACAATATATGTCTCTTTTTTTCATGAGTTTTTTTGAGACATTAAAAATATTTTATTTTATCTACTAATGTGATTCGTTTTTAGAAACATGTTTTGTTTAAATTTTGACAGCAAGTGTAAAATGGTTTGATAATATATATGTCACATGCATTGCGTATGTATTGTATAATGCATTATATATTTTTTTCACACTATCATTTGTGCCAACTTTTTTCAGGTTCGGTTTGTTAATTTTAAAGGTGCCTTTTATATTCAGTCCAGCTTAATGAATGCTTGCCATCAGTAAAGCATAACCAAGAGGCTAACATTGTAACTTACAACGAGCTCAATGAAAATTAAAGGTATAACACAATGATATAACATAACGCTATAACTTACTCAACGAACATCTTAAAAACTGCGTGACATGAGTGGATAATGGGGCTTAGCCTGTGATGAAACGGACCCGCCCACCCGTTTCTGAAGATACGACATCTACCCTAGACGCCGTCTGTAAAAAATTATGCGAATATTCCAGAATATTTCAGAAAAGAAAACCGAATAAATAAATAAGTGGTTTGGTGGTGAATCCACAATTTCCTACACAATCAAAATCTTAGTTTACACCGAGGTTCCCATTATTTCACCTTGTATGTCCTACCTACCTACTTAATTACTTCATTTTGTCATATCATTTTTACACACACACATACATACATGGACAGACCATTATAAAAAGAAAGAAAGAATCTAGCCTATAATCAAAATAACGCACCAGCTGTTCTGAATGTAGCATGCATGACATCCCTAATCTGGCAATATGACGTCAGGAACAGAACCAAATGTTTTAACATTTAGCGTAGGTGCTTGATTTACTCCCCCCACCCCCACCCCCCCCCCCCCACCCCACTCCTTGTCCCAGACGAAATAGAAAACTTACTTTATATATATATATATATATATATATATATATATATATATATATATATATATATATATATATATATATATATATATATATATATATATATATTACATAATTAGCGGGGATTGATCAAGTGCAAATGTTGTAGGTATTTTACGGATAAGCTTGGAGTATTAAAATTGTTCATTAAATTGAAACAGGCGCGTTCGTTTAAGTGTGTGCAAAAGACTATGAATAAGTTGGGGTACTATACTATAGTCGTTCATTAAGCTAAAACAGGTGATTCCGCCCCGGGCGTTTATGTTCGCGTTAGTGTTTTCTTTGTGTTTAGGTGGGTTTGCGTTAGTGGTTGCGTTTTGATTTGGTTCGTTTTTGTTCTTTCTTTTTTCGTTTTTGTTTGTGTTTTTTTCTTTGGGTTTGTATTTGTGTTTTTGGTTGGCTTTGCGTTTGGATTTGGTTTGTTTTCGTTTGCTTTTTCGTTGTTTTTTTTTTGTTGGTATTGGTGTTTGTGGTTGGGTTTGTTGTTAGGTTTTTGTTTTCGTTTGCTTTTTTGTTTGTTTTTTCTTTGTGTTTGTATTGGTGTTTGTGGTTGTAGTTGGGTTTGGTGTTAGGTTTTTGTTTTCGTTTGTATTTGTAATTGTGTTAGCGTTATGTTTGCGTTTTGTTGTTTTGGTTTTGGTTGGTTGTGGTTTGGGTGGGCAATGCCGGGTTTATGATGATTACTAAACACACAGGTGATGGTCTTTAACGGAAAGGTTTTTCACAGAAGCCAGAGCAGGGCCTGGCCGGGACGGCTAGTATATATATATTATTTACCCAGCGTCTGCCCCTCCCCCCCCCCCTCCAGAAAACTTTAAGTATTGTGCGTCCCTCTCCGGATATAACTGTCTGAGAAGGGGTGGGGGGCATATAAGTTTAGATAGAGTACGGTCCATCAAATACGGACGAAGCGAGTTCTTTAATTTCCGCCAACACCCCCAAGTAACTTCGTAATTTTTTTTTTTCATTTCTTAAATTTATTTTATAAATGTGTAATGGTTTTTTTAATCAGACCAGGCAATTGCATTACCACGATTTACTCTGGGACGCATTTAAAATTTTGGGAGTGGGGAACGGGGGACGTTCACTAGTTAAAGTTAATCTATAGAAATTAAATATACGAGCCGACTCGCGGCATATCATACGCCTCTATTTAGTTTTTGATTTTTCTACTTTTCAGTTATTCATAATTAGTGAATTCGACACTGAAAATATTTCTTTAAAACACTATAAGTAGCTCGTTAAGAACGATAACCCCCCCCCCCTCCTCCCCCCTCCTCCCCCCCCCCTCCGTTAAAGTAAACTCCACTTAGTTACCCCCTCCCCCTTCGTTTAAAATCGTTTCAAACTAAATTATCTGCC